TGGCAGAGGAAGTATAAAGAAATATTTTTCAAGTGAGTTGAAAAAATTAGTGTAACTGCTCAAAGTCCTCCAGTGGCTGTCCATTCGTGTAGGAGTGATTTGGGGTTCATCCCATGGCTTCCGTGATTTTCTTGGCCCGTGCCCAACTTCATCTTTCTCCTTCTCCTCGTTGACTTGAGTTCTGGCCACATCGGCCTCTTTTCTGTTCCTCAAACGCACCTAGCTCTTTCCAAACCCACAGGCTTTGCACATGCCGGGTCCTCTGCCTGGGATGTTCTTGCCCTAGATCTGGGCGCGGCTGGCACCCTCTGATCGTTCAGGTCTTAGCCTGCATGATGCCTCCCCTTCCCCGAATTCTCCAGAAAAGCAGCTCCTTCAACCAGTCAATCCTGGCAGCTTTCCTGCCTTTATGTTCTAATAGCAAGCGCTTAGCAGAGCCACTGAGCCACATCCCAGTCCTCCCCAAACTTTTCACTTGTAGTTTATTATCTGTCTTTACTGATTTGAGTTTTAGAACCTGAGGAGCAGGAATACTGACATATGATTCACCCCTGTATCCCAGCACTTAGCTGAGTATCCACTAAGTGTTCAGCAGGTATTCAGCAGGGGGTCAGGGGTCTGAAATCCAGGGGTTGGCAGGGCTAGGCCAAAAGCCCCCGGGGAGGAAGCCTTCCTTCCCGCTCCCAGACTTTGGTGGCTCCAGGTGCTCCTCGCTTGGGACCACATCCCTGTCCTCTGCGTCCCTCTCTGCCTGGTCCTCTCCTCCTCTTATGGCTGACCCCCTCTTAATGGACGTCGGATTTACGGTCCACCAGGATATCCAGGATGACTTCTTGACACTCTTAACTGTATCTGCAAAGATCCTTTTTCCACATAAGGTCACGCCCACAGGTACTAGATGGACCTATCTATTGGGAAGCCACCATTAAACCCATTACTAAGGTAAATGGCAGAAAAAGAAACAGCTTAGAGTTCCAGTGGGGTTAAACTTTAGTCCTCCAACGAGTGACTGACTGCTTTTCGAGACATAAAGATCCACTTCTGGGAATACGGCCATGTGTCACCTAAAGATGGGGACACCTTCTGAGGAACACACTGTGAGGCAATCTTGTTACTGTGTGATCCTCAGTGTTTTCACAGACTAAGACAGTCATGTTGCCAGGTGCTGTGATCCTAAGGGGCAACCACCGAGTATAACTGCTGCCGTTGACGGAACGGTCAAACTCGTGGAAGCAGAGATTACGATAGCACTTGGCAGGGGCTTCAGGAAGGGGGAAGGGGGAGAAGTTCAATGGGTGTAAAGTCCCAGTTATGCAAGATGAATAAGGTCTAGAGATCTGCTGTACCACACAGCACCTATCATTAACAATAGGTGTGGATCTCTTATAAAGTGTCCCTACACACACACACAAAAGGACAAGGGAAGCACTGGGAGATGTTGCATATGTCTGTTCCCCTGATTGGGGTTGTGATGTCATAGTTGGCATAGGTCCAAATTCTTCGGATTGAGCCCATTAAAAACGTGTATTTCTTTCTATGTCAACTATTCCTCAGTAGACACTCTCGGAGCCTGGAGCGGTAATGCACGCCTGTAATCTCAGTGACTCAGGCAGCTGAGGCAGGAGGATCGCAAGCTCAAGGCCAGCCTGGGCAACTTAGTGAGGCCCTGTCTCCAAATGAAATAGAAAGGGCTCAGCGATAAAGTGGCCGTGGGTCTGATCCCTAGAACTGATACCCTTGGCCTGCAAATGCCGGACATGTCAGTGCTGACCGTCCACGCATCACTTTAAAGGGTGTTCTGGGGAGGGAACACCTGCACCGTCCTTGCTGCCAGGCTAACGTGAGAGTCCATCTCCAGCGAGGTGCCTTGCTGCAGCCTAAAACCCCACAGCTGCTCACTGCTGGGAGCCTTGGCACTGTTTAAAGGGATCCAAACTGTCACCTTCTGAAAAAGAACCTCTCCAGAGAAAGTCCTCTACTAGTGCTGGTGATGGAAGGAAAAGGCAGGGATCCAGGAGGGGGCTGCTTCTTCCCCAGCATGACAGGCAGCTTCCAGGACCTTCGGCCACTGAGCCTGACTCCAGGTTTTTATACACTCCCTGGTGGAATCCCCTTCCCTTGAGTGTGACCTGAACCTGAGACTTACCTCTAATGAATAGAATATGGCAAAAATGATAGGATGACCTTTTTTTTTTTTTTTCCTTTTTTTTTTTTTTTTTGGTACCAGGGTGAACCCAGGGGCCCTTAACCACTGAGCCACATCCCCAGCCCTTTTTTACATTTAATCTTGAGTTGCTTGGGGCCTTGCTAAGTTGCTGAGGCTGGCTTTGAACTGAGGATTCTGCCTCAGCCTCCAGAGCTGCTGGGATTACAGGCATGGGCCATCAGACCCAGCTCGGGACGACCTTGGGCTAGAAATGTGGCTAAGATAAGGCCTCTGCATGCACCCGGCCCTGGGCTCCATCCTTAGCAATGAAAAACAAAAGGAAGCAAAATAAAAGTAAATAAATTTTAAAAAGACTGTGCCTTCCATCTCCCTCCTATTGCCCATCTTTCCTCACTCTTTCTTGGAGGGAAAGCAGCTGTCAGGTTGAGGTCTTCTACAAAGACGCCAAGCTGGTGGGGTACCGAATTCTCCAGCCAACCACCTGGAATCGTCAATAAAAGACATACTTGGAAGTGGGCAGTTTTGTCAGCTTTTTTGCTGCTGTGACTAAACGGCCCCACCAGAGCAACGGTAGAGAAGGAGAGGCGGGCTCCACTCTTCGGGACTTAAGGTGAGGCAGGACGTCTCCGTCATGGAAGAGTGTGGCAGAGAAGCCGCTCACATGATGATCAGGAAGCAGAAAGACTCCACTGGCCAAATACAAACAGGTACCCAAGGCCACGCCCCATGCCCCACCTCCTCTAGCCACACCCCACCTGCCTCCAGTCTCCACTCAATTAACCCCATCGGATGATTGGTTCACTGATTGGGTTAAGGCTCTCACAACCCAGTCATTTCTCCTCTAAACCTTCTCGCGTTGTCTCACACGTGAGCTTCTGGGGGGACATCTCACATCCCAACCACAACATAGGTCTTCTGGGGTCTGCAGAACCACATGGGCAGCTCAGAAGCAGACCTTTCCCACGTGGAGCCTTGGGGTGACTGTACCTGGCCAACCTTGGCTGCAGCCCCCTGTGAGACCCTGCGCCAGTACAGTAGCACAGCCTGTGTCATGCCCAGGCTCCCAACCCACAGAAACTGTGCCATAATGAATGTTGCTTACGCCAGCCACTAGGTTTGGGAGTAATTTGTTCCGCAGCAACAGACACCAACAGACACCAACAGGCCCAGATATAGAGTGGTAGGATATATTCAGCCTCGCGGCTTCTGCGCTCCTGCTCACTGTTTACAAATTTGGGGATTCACAGATACAGCACTTATCGCTCTCAAAAATCTACAACATCTCCTCCCACTCCTTTTATTCTGTTTATGTTTGGGAGGGAGCATGATATCAAACGATCGTGACAGTTCTATTCCTATGTTCTCTTTTTCCTGCTTAATATGTTGCATTTCCTCATCTCATTAAATAATCTTCCGAGCGTTCTTTATTCTGAGCAGCTCTTCACTGCTGCCCTGATGAGTGGACCAACATTAACTAAAGCACTCCCCTCCTTTGTGTTTTGGGCTTACAGTAGAGTTTTTCCCCCTTGGGCGATATCCATGAGCATGTGCTGGCCCCTCTGTTGAGGATCTGCAATAAAAGTACACAGAAGACCCGGCATGGTGGTGCACACCTGGAATCCCAGAGACTCAAGAGGCTGAGGCAGGAGGATCGAAATTTCAAAGCCAGCCTCAGCAACATAGGAAGGTCCTAAGCAACTCAGCAAGACCCTGTCTCTAAACAAAAAATACAAAGGCCTGGGGATGAGGCTGAGGATGAACAGTGGGTTCAATCCCCAGTACAAAAAAAAAAAAAATCATGGGATGTCTGTGGCTAAATGCTTCTGATCATTGAACCAAATCTATACCTTTTCCTACTGTGTGTTCCTGGGCTTGTTATTTAACTCTCCTGGGCCTCAGTTTCCCTTTCTGAACTGCAGGGATGATAGTCCCATTTTCTTCACAGAGTTATTATAGGCACCATTTAAAACACAGCACAGTGCCCGTCATCTCAGGGTATTTAGACACCAGCCAGGCTGCGGTACCCTCACCCCATCAAGTTCTGGTCCACAGTGCATAATGCCAACTCTTGTCCCAGATGTAAGCCCACCTCCAATCAACAGCATCTTGGCTTCCCTCCTGCCCTCTAATTCTCCCTGAACCCACTCTGCTGACTCCAGCTCAGCTGCCCTCCGTCACCCTGACGCCTGCCTTTGCTACGTGATCCTGGTGTGATAGTTAATTTTACATCATCTTGGCTGAGTCATGGTACCCAGACAGGTGCTCAAACATTACTCTATGTATTTCTGCTGAGTATATTTTTGGATGAGAATGACATTATGATGAGTAAAGCAGACGGCCCTCCATGGAGGTGGGTGGGCCTCAATCAATCAGTCGAAGGCCTAAATAGAACAAAAAAGGCTGATCTTCCCAAACGAGTGAATTCTGCTGCAGAGGCCCTTGAACCTGAACTGCAACACCAGTTCTTTCTTGTGTCTCCAGCCTACCAGCCCACCCTGCAGATTTTGAATATCTTAAACTACTCCCCCCACCATGGATATGTGTGTTTATATGCACATAAATACATACATACACACACACACACACACACACGTATATGCACACCCTATTGGTCCTGTCTGCTCAGAAACACCAATGCACTTGAGCAAGTCCATCTCATCTCTGGGCCTGTTTCCTCACCTGTAGTATGAGAGGAAGATCAGATTGGGGGTTCATGGGGGATCTCCCACCTCTAAGATTCTAGACCATTCCTTCTTCTTCCAAAGGACCTTTTACTTTCCGCAGCATAGACCACACCCAGAGCTTTAAACAACTAGCCTAAGCAAAAAAGGAGTGGGGAAACACTTTTGAATTTATTTGCCATCATATGTGCCAAGACTTGTGCCCAGCACCTGGGAGTGTGTTAAATCCTGACATAGTGTCTCAGCTACATGTGTGAGAGTCTGGGTGAAGAGTCGTCTCCGCGTGCTTGTCCTGGAGCGCGAGGGACACCCCCTCTCACCTAATCTGATTGCCCTCTCCGAGCGGACACCCCAGCTGAGCCTGGTCTCAGGCTCCTGCTCTGTGCTGCCATCAGCCCCTTCCCAAGAGCCAGGAGGAAGCTGCTTCAGGGGGTCTGAGGGTAACCGGGCCTGGGGGTGCGCAGGGTCCTGGTGCTGCCAGAGAAGACACCAGCCCCGCCGCTGCTAGGTTGGAGTGCAGCGCCGGCCCCGGTACTTCCCTCAGTCTCTCTTCCTGCTCTTGGGGCGGAAGATGAATGGATCACTGAGGTCCAGCGGCCAGGCCTTGGGGAAGGGGAGGCGGGGAGCTACCTGGGATTAGCCAGGAGAGCTGGCCCTGCGGAGTCTCCCTCAGGCCTCAGAATGGCTGTGGGTACCAGCCTCTGGAAGTCCCAGAGGGGCCGCTCCAGGCCTCCATCGGCTCCAGCTCACAGTGGTTTCTCGGCACTGGAAACACTCCTGGGATAACGCAAGCGTCTTCTCCTGGGCTTCTGGGCTTCTCCTCGCCCACTGTGGACTCTGGATTGTCCCCAGCCAGGGCCGCGTTTCTGGGACAGCTGGGTTTTTGCCAGGGGAACTGGACAGCAGAGGGGAGAGCCCTCTCTGCTCCCAGCAGTGAACCTCCTTATACCAGCCCTCAGTTTTCAGGACTTCAGACCCGTGGGCCCTGGTCCGGGATCTTACCAGGACAGCAAATGAGAGTGTTTCAAGTCTCAAGAAAGGCTGCGTGAGAAACTAATAAAAATAAAAATAACAAATTAAGACAGGCTGTGTAATGTTCAACATGTCGCTTGACTTCTCTGAGTCTCTGTTTCCTTGTTTGGAACAGTGGAATGGTAGTCTCTGTTTCATAGGTGACTGGGAGGTTGGAATGACATATTGGTGGTGGCAGGGGCTGCAGCAGCCCCCGCTGCTGCAGCGATGGCTTCCTTTTCCCCAGGGAAATCCTGGCCCAGCTGGTCAACCAACAAGGAAACCTTCCAGCAGCAGCAAAGGAGGCACCTGGTTGCTGAGGCTGCTTTCTGGGCCTAAGGAGGAGGCAGCTCCATTCCTGGGAGCAGGTTAGAAGTGGACTTGGGCAGAGGAGAGGAGGGGGAAGGCCAGGAGGGGCTGAGGGCCGGGCCCCCCTGCAGGCCCTTGCCAGTCTGGGGCTGAGAGAACAGGCTCCCTCCTCTGCAGACACGCAGGCCCTGGAGCAGCTGAAGGGTTGTGGGGAGAGGACTCCAGTCCCCCCGTGATGGGGTGCTCCGGCCCCAGGGGCTGTGGAGGGGCAGGCTGGGCTGGAGGGCTGGGCAGGAGGGCACCGAGCTTGGAGGAAGTCTCCAACGGGCCAGAGCCAGCGGGTGGGGCAGACAGGTCAGGCCTGAGGGACAGTTGGGCAGGGTGTGCTGTCCCCATGTCAGGGCCAAGGGACAGCAAAGGCAGAAGGGGTGGGAGAAGGCCAGGGGAATCCTGAGAGTGTGGACCTGGAGAAAGTTGCTGAGCTGGGGAAGAGGAGGCTGGAGTCTGCATCAGGCCCTTCTGCTTCAGGCAGCCATGTTGCCCACGGGCAGTGGATTGTCCCAGGGGCTGCTGGGGCCAAGCCCAGCAGCCAGCAGGCTCCGGCGCTGGGCGGGAGGCACAGTCCAGGCGGCACACACACTCATGCAGCTGCAGAGTGCGAGTCCACCATCCTAACTCAGCCTGCAGTGCCTGGATCTCCTTCCGCAGGGTGTGGTTGTGTTTCTCCAGGGTCTCGTACTGCTGGGGGAGAAGCGGTGGGCCAGGAGGGGACGTCAGCCTGCAGCGGGGCCGGCGTGAGCCCCATCCCCCTCCAGGCTCCTCATGCCAGAGGAAGCTGCCACCTTCTGCATATCCAGGCTAGAGCCAGCCCTCTACCACGCCCCCATCCTGTACCCTGGCAGGGCACAGAGCTGCCCCGCTCTCTGCCCCACTGCGAGTCCCCTGAGCTGCACCCACTTACCTGGATCTCCGATGGCTTCCTCATTGGTGTGCCCCCAACCTCCCAATTCTCTTGGCCCCAGGAAGGCACCGTCATTAACTGGAGGCCAAAACCCTCCAAAGGTCCAAGACTCCCAGGTTCCAAACTCCCCGTGTTGGCCCTGGACGCCAGCCTGGCAGCCCCTGCTCAAACCTCCAGCGCCATCTGTCCTGCCTTGTCTCCTGCTCCTTCTCCTCCTGTCCCTCAGATGGAATTTATTTCCTCAACATGTTTCCTGTCTCCTCTGCGCCACACCCTGTGTGGGTCCCAACGTGGCTTTCACGTGGCACCTTCCAAGTCATTCTGTCCTAGACAACTCATGTCACCTCCAGGCCTCCACCTCCACCTCCCCGGGGAGCCGAGGCCCAGAGCTTGCCAACTGAGGCACCGTGGGATTTGGGGTTCAGTTTTCCAGGTGGACAGCACAGGTGTGCTCTGCTGGACACCTCTGAATCAGCCTTCAAAAAGTTCTGTTCTTCCAGACACCGGGTTCTGAGAATCTGCTGGGACAATCGTCCACTTCCACTTCCACTTCTAAATGGCCATCTGTGATGACAGCGATGTCAGAAACGTGGAAAGAATTTTATTTTCACCTTATAGGCCGAGTGAGATGAACAGTTTCCTTCAGTCCCCTTTTGGGGACACTTGAAAAGGAGAAGTTGTAAGGATGTTTTGCATAAAAACGTGCCTTAGGCCACGGTCTCGAGAGTTCCTAAGGACCTCAACACCACCAGGGGTGGTTTCCATGGGTGGAATGGACACTTCCAGAACACATCACCAGGTCAGGTCACCTAAACTCTCCAAACCTCCACCTGACCTCCAGGAATCGAGCCACTCATTCATTTATTTGTTTGCCACCTTCAGCCTGTTCAAATGTCACTACTCAGAGGATCTCCCTAGTTAATCTCCATCACCACTGCCTCTCCCTTCCCTTTTCCGTTTTATTTTCCCCCTTCAGACTTATCACCACCTAACATCTCCGACGCTTTAGGACCAGGTACTTGTACTCTGGCCTCTGTGAGAACAGAAGCTCCTGGAGGTGGGAGAGGGGCTTTTGTCTGGGGCTCATATCTGCCCTCCAGGGCCTGGGGTGCAGGGAAGACACACCGTAGCAGTCTCCACAAGGAGCAGAGGATGCACAGTTTCCCGTGGTGCTCCCTGGTGCGCAGTCTGCAGGGGGCGTCCCCCACCCCAGCCAATGCTCCACCTGCCCCTGGTGCATGTTCTGACCTTCACCCACTTGGAAAGCTCCTATGGAGCCCTCAAGTCTAGATCACCCTTCATCGCCTCTTTATGCCCCCAAGGCCACTCACAATAGTGTCCCTCTGAAATTAGGATGAGGTCACAATACCCATGTGACTGTGTTTAGAGATAGGACTTTGGAGCCAGGCATGGTACTGCATGCCTGTAATCCCAGCAGCCTGGGAGGCTGAAACAGCAGGATCACCAGTTCAAAGGCAGCCTTAGTACCCAGCGAGGCCCTAAGCAACTCAGTGAGACCCTGCTCTCAATAAAGTACAAAAAAAGGGTTGAGGATGTGGCTCAGTGGTTAAGTGGCCCTGGGTTCAATCCCCAGTACCAACAGAAAAAAGAAAGAAATAGGGCTTTTAGGAGGTGATTTAGAGTAAATGAGGTCATAAGGGATCTTACAGGATTGGTAGCCTTATAAGAAGAGGAAGGAGGACTGGGGATGTGGCCCTGTGGTAGAGTTCCCCTGGCATGCGTGAGGCCCTGGGTTTGAGCCCCAGCACCATCAAAAGAGGAAGGGAGAGAGATGACTCTCCTCTCACATCAGTGGAAAAAGACCACAGCACCCCCAAGTACCCTGGCAGGAAGAGAGCCCTCAGCAGAGAGAAAATTAACATGTACCTTGATCTTGGACTTTAGAAAATAAATCTCTGCGGCTTAAGCCTGCAGTGTATGCAGCCCCAGCAGACAGATGCGCTGCCCTGCCCATGTGTCCCCACACTGCCTTTTCATTTGCCGGATGGTGACTTGATCCCAGGGCCTCTCACCTGCTCCGCAGGCTGAGCTATACCATGTTCTAGGTGATGGGCGAGTAGCAGGGAAAGGAATGGTTCCCTGCCCTTAGGGTGCCGAGGAGGGAGACAAGTCATGTATTTGGGATATGGAACCGAGGGCCACTGCTGAAGATGGGTTAATTAATTAGTGGGTTATTTGGTTATGGTGAGAGTGGATTTGCTATAAAAGTGAGCTGTCTCTGCTCCATCTTGCTCTGTGATATTCCCCGACATGCCACTTGTGACCAGCAGGAAGGCTCTCCACACAAACTGGCATCATGCTCTTCGATGTCCCTAAACCAACCTCTTTTTTTTTTTTTTAATTGTACTACTGGAGATTGAACCCAGAGACACTCTCCCACTCAGCTATATCAACAGTCCTTCTTGCTTCCTTTCTTTATTCTTTCTTTTTTAACCTTGAGACAGGTTTCACTAAGTAGCTATGGTGGCCTTAAACTTGCAATCTTCCTGCTACAGCCTCCCAAATTGCTGGGATCACCAGTGTGCACCACCATGCCCAGCACAAACATCTTTTCTTTATGAATTATCTGGTCTGTGGTATTCACTTATAGTAACAGAAAGTTGTCTAAGATGGAGGGTGTCCCCACCTGGTGCAGGGCATCTGCCTTGTCTGTGTGCTTCTGCCGGCTGCGCTGGGCGGCCACCCGGTTTTTCTGTTTCTTCTTCAGCTGCTTCTGACAATCTGGTGGGTCCTGCTGGGCATGGGACACAGGGCTCAGGGATTCCAGCAGGGCTCTTGCCCTCTGCTCTGGCCAGCCATTTGCCAAGCCAAGTTGTTCCCTTGGGGACTTGACCTGTCCTCCTAGAAGCCCCTCTTGCTCCTTCAGCACCCACACTCCTCTGCAGGCCTCGCACACCTCATGAGCCCTGTTCATAGAATATGTGGGGGCGAGGACAAGTAGGGAAGCTGATTGAAACCTGGACAGAACTGGCTTCGAATGGCACATTCTCACGAGCCATGTCTCTCTGGGCTGGTCACTCACTTCTCTGAGCCCGGTCACCTCCTCTGTGCAAGAGTGGCATTATGGTACCTTCTTCAGAGGCCACTATGAGGCGTGGAGAGAAACCCTCAGGGCAGGCAGCTCTGAGCCAGAGCTGGGAGAGGTCAGCTCTGCTCCCTGAGTGCTCCCTGCAGTGCTCCCTGAGGGCGGGGCCCTCTGTCTATGTCCTGCTCACATCCAAAGCTGATGTCCACTCACTCCACAAAAGTCTACTACTTCTCTACTGTGTGTCGGCCGGTCACGTAGCCAGGGGGACACAGTGGTGAACAAAACAGGAACCACCCCTGCCCCCATGTTCTAGCTGAGCAACCGTCTGGGACGAATGAATGGAGAGTTCCTTTTGCCAGACCAATGGGCTCCAAGGTTGTCAGCTGCGACCATCCCCAACCTGGGCACCTTGGAACTTAGGTGAACATTCACTCCAATGGCCCAGAGCTCTGGAAAGACGAGGCCCAGGGACTGTGGAAGACCTCCCAGCCCCACAGGCCCCCATCAGTCTTCGGGGTGTTTTGTGGGTAAGGAGCTCAGGCAAGACCCTGGCCTCCTTGGCCAAGGATTCTGGATCCTCAGTGGTTCCTGGCTGCAGCTCTACCCAGGCCACAGCCTCTGGTGCCGTCACGGCCACAGCACCCTCATTTCTGAGACTAGAGCCCGGGGAAGGACCCAGAGAGAAGAGGGGAGACCTGTGAGGGAACCCCTGCCTGCAGGGGTCATGGGAAGGCAGAGACTGGAGGGACCACGGCAGAAGAGGTGGGTCCGGAGAGAGCCGGTGGGAAGTCCAAGTTCTAACCCCCAGGCTGCATCTGCAACTTGGGAACTGTCCCCCGATGGTTCAGGGGAGGAAATTCAGACCCAGAGAGGGGTTGAGTGGAGCCTGCCAGAGGTCACCCAGCCCAGGAGCACAGAGCTGGCACTAGAACATCCCCCCTCATGCCCCACTGCCTGGGCCCTGAGACCCTCAAGTCCACTCCCCGTCACCCCCCACCCCTGCAGCCCCGTACTCACGGGCCCCGTCAGCAGCACTTCTCTTCCACAGAGGTGCATGGCTGAGGCAGGGGAGCGAGGCTCACACAGATCCTGGATGTCCCTCAGCAGCTGTGACCTCCCGGTGCCCTCTGGGGACCCAAGGAAGTGGCAGCTCTTTAAATCCCTAGTGACCACTCCGCCCCCAGAAAGCCCAGTTTCAGTTTCTCCTAAAGCCACCGGCTGCTCAGAATCCCTGGCTCAGGACTGCTCACGTGGCTGGAAGTTCCTGACATGCTCTGGCTTCCGGTTGGGCCCCTTTTCTGGGAGAAGGACTATGGAGGGTGGAGACTGGGAGATTGAAGGCCAGGTGTGGGGAGGGTGTTCTGGGGAGGGAGGGTGTTCTGGGGAGGGAGGGCGGGCTGCCAGGAACAGAGCCAGGGAAGAAGCCAGCGGGGGCCCCAGATTCACATGGGGCTGGGGACAGTCCCTGTGCTCCCTGGGGCACAGGTTCACAGCCCACAGCAGAGCAGTGCAATTGTGAGAAACTGAGTCACCCTCTCTGAGCCTCAGTTTCTTCATCTGTAAAGGGTGTGAGTTGGATGGTACAAATTCCCAGGCTCAATGTAGGAACTATGGGGGAGAATATGACTCCCCCGATCCTCTGAGATGGAGTCCAGGTGGGTCTGTAAAATCAAGCAATGGGCCTTAAATAAAAATGGATGTTACTGTTTCCATAGATCAGACCTAGGGACTAGGAGCCCAGCTTCCAAGCTATGTTTGCAAATCTGTAAAGCGAGGATAACGATTTTGTTGTGATGAGATGAGTTAAGGCAGGTGAGTTGCCTGAACCCAGGCCTGGTGCCGAGAGTGAGACCTCGACCTTTGCATTTATGAAACCCTGGGAGATTGGAAACTGTGTTTATCACCAGGCCTAACAGTCCAAAGCATCCAGTTGTGTGAAAATAGCAAACTGCCACAAGATCAGAACAAGACGATGATTTCCATAAGGTTTAATAATATGGATATGTAAAGAGGTCATGAAAGTATAAAATGAGCACCAGAATGAGGAACAAAATCCAGAGAGTGGTGGCCGGAGACAGGTGGGTGGACAGAAGAGGATAAAGGGACTTCGGTAATTGCTTGTGTACTGGGAGCACAGTTGTAAGTGGTATCATCTACATTTTGAACAATATTTGAAATGTTTCCTAATAAAAACCTCTTTAGAAGACCTAGCAAACCCCAAGCAAACCTGCATGGTGGTGTCTCTCTGAGAAGGCTGTGCTTGGATAGGACATCTGATCGCGGGGACACAGGAGCCAAGCCACCCCTGTGCTGAACCAGCACACAGCATGTAGGGTTCTATGGTCTGGTAACAAGTGCATCTTGGGGTTGTGTCTGTGTCATGAGCGCTCAAGGCTGATGATGAGGGATCTTGAGGGTGAGCTCATTAGGAAAGTGTAATGCAATTGACCAGCCCCGTGCTGTGCCTGCCATGCCCAGATTGATTGGAGATGTGTCACGAGCGGAGCAGAGGCATGGAGCGTAGCCATCCTCTGCCCTCCCTGGAGCTAGGCCTGGAGCTGCCTGGGCCTTACAGCTGGAAGGCTCTGAGCCCCTGCGCCCTCTCACCAGCTCTACTGCCTGGGGCCTGGGTCTTCTCACACACAAGCTTGGGGGGGACAAAGAAGTCATACCCCTTGCACAGAGCTGTGCTGAGAGGGGAGAGAGCGACGAAAGCTCTTCCCCTGTTGTAAAGTGCTGGACGGACTCCCTCTCCTGAGGTTTGTGGTGACTCACTCTGGATGGTGGCCTGTAATTAGGACGCCCCAGTGGGAGGGCTTGTGCATCACAGCTGGGCCCTTGCCTCCTGGCTTCTGAGGGGCCTGGAAGTGGGACACCCCCACGCAATGAGGCTGCCCCGGTTTCTCTGAATTATTTTGGTTTCCCAGTCACTGGGGGAGCTGGGGCTGCCTAAGGCGGGCACCTGGGGCTCAGTGAGCCAGAGCTCCTCAGGGAGCACTCTGCAGGGCATTGGGCAGGATGTACCCCCAAACAGCTGTGGGGGAGGCTCGGGCCAAGCGCCCCTCTCCCAAACCTGGATCCCCCAGGCCCAGGCTTCAGGTAGGAGGCAGAAGGCAGGTGTGGCTCCTCCCAGGAGGCCACAGCCCTGAGGAGGAGCAAAGGAGGCAGGTTTGATGGCTTCAGCTCCCTGAGGAGGTGGCAGGGAGAGGGCGTGGCAGGGAGGGAGGGTGGTTATTATTTAACCTCCAGTGGCCATACCAGGCTTCCGCCAGAGGCCCTCCCTGGCTGGCGGGGCCATCTGGTCCCAGCCCTCACTGTGTGGTGTCCTGGTGTGCTCTGGCTGCCCCAGCACTGCCGCAGCCTGGGTGGCTTAAACAACAGACACTGATCTCACAGTTTGGGAGGCTGGGAAGTGCAAGGTTGAAGTGTGGCAATGGCCTCTGGCTAGAAGATGGCTGCGGTCTCGCTGTGTCCTCACTTGGTAGAAAAAGTTCTGGTCACTCTTTGTCATCTTACAAGGACACTAATTCCACCCTCATGACCTCATCCAAACCTAATTACCTCCAAAAGGCTTTGTCTCCAAACACCATCATATTGAAGATTGAGATTGTGCTTGAACATAGTTTGAGCAAACAAAAACATTCAGTCCACAAGAGAACGAGAGGAAGCTGGTACCCAGAGAGTCAAGGTCACACCACAGGGCATCGGAGCTGGAGGGAGAACACAACCTCTGAATCTAAGCCTTCAGTTCTCCTCCACACCCAGCTTGGAGAGGCCTCTCCATGAGTCCAGCATCTCAGCTTGGGTTGGAGGCCAGACGGCTCCGAGGCCTCCTGAATACCAGAGCTACAAAGCTTTGCCTGTTTTGCTCTCTGAAGTATTCCCCTTCACATAGTAGATGCCCAGATGGTGAATAAATGAATTAAAGTCCAGGCAGCTTTTCATCCAGGGACCCCAAACCCTTTCTGAATAAATAAACTTCTGCTTTTCTCATTCCCATAGGATCTGCCTTGGGTGCTGGGGGATTCTCCAGAGCCAAGCTCCTCATTTAACCAATGAGGAAACTGAGGCAGAAGGAAGGGACCCATTGGCAGAAGCTAGGAGACATGTAAGGCCTTTTCCCAAGTATGTTCCACACCTCATGGGGTTGGGTAGATGCTTAGCCGGTCTCCAGGTGCCCAGATGAGGACCTCTGCCTGGGTCTTCCCACCTCATGCATCCCTAGTTTTAGGGCACCTGAGGGAGCTCTAGAGGATGAGTACAAGATGAAGGCTTAGGCGCCTGCTGTGGGTTGAGGCTGGTACTGATGTCCCATCCAGGACTGTGAAGGAGCCTGCTGGAGCTCAGTCTCAGCCTGGGGTGGAACACACCTGTAGGGGAGGCACCTTCTCTGGGAGAGGTCATTTTCTGTCAGGGGAGCTCAGAGATTTCCAGAGCAGGAGCTCTTTGGGAGGGACATGGAAGGATAGGAAGGCTCTATCCCAGGGCCTGGAGCTTGTTCTGGGGCAAGTCATTTAACCAACTTCTTTAAGCTTCCTCTGTATAATGGGGATAGTAATCCAAGGATTTGATGAAGTGATAAATGTAAAAGTCACATAAACTTGGGTTGAATTTTTAACAAGGTTAGTTAGTAGATACCTGATGAATTTTTCTGTTCATATAGCAACAGACCTGGATTATGTTTCATTATTAAGAAAAAAATTGTGGATGCAAGAACAGTGATGAGATGATGTTTCAGTGAAATGTCTCTTTAATGACAGAAAACTTAAAAGTGCCTGGGAGCGGGCTGTAGCCTCGGGCAGGGTGGCTCACAGTGGGATGACCCCTAAAGGGCCAGCTTAGCTTAACAGGGAGGGGGGTGCCCCCACCTCCTGCCACTTTCCTAGTAGTTCCAACAGAGGTCCCAGGCTGGCTGTCCTTGGTGTGGCTTGGGTCCTGACAGCAGTCCCTGTGGCGAGGGGAAGAGAAGAGATTGGCAGAGCTGGGGTCCCAGGCTTATGCTGGAGTGGGGATGGCGTCAGCCCCATCTAATCCAGGGGGTGAGGAAGGGGCACCTCCTAAGGGCATCAGAGTGCAGGGGCTGATGCCCTCACCTGGGGTCAAATTCAGGTATGAGGGCGCTGCCACTCGGCAGGGCATTCCTTGTTGAGATGGATTTATCCCCATGTGACCAAGCCAGGCAGCCTTTCATTAGCTCCCAGCTTCCCAAGTTGGGGAAGAAGGTCCTAAGAATAAGTCACTTAACTAACTCCTTTAGGCAGGAATGCGTTGGCTTGCTGAGGGGATGATCCAGAGGACCTGAATGCTGGGCTGAGACTGAAGGCGGTGACATCATGGTGACCTCTCCAGGAATGGGGGGCAGAACTGGCTTTCACTTTCAGCACAGCACATTGTGAGCGCTCTTTAGAGCCCGAGTCAGCAAAGTGATGGGCCTCCCAGGAAAGGGTGACTCCACACGGGGTTGTCTGATGTCACCACTGTCTTCCCTGGAGGTGGGTGGTGCCAGCCAGGAGGAAGTGGGATCTGGCACACATCCCAGTGCTCAGCTCCTACCCCTCCCCAATCCTGCTGCGCCCTTTGCTGCCTTCAAAGCGTGGTGTGGCTGGTCTCTGCAGTTCTTTAACACATACATCTTTCCCGGAAGCTGACTCAGACTTTGAAGAGCAGGGAGCACCCCTGGGTCTCGTGGGATGTGGCAGCAGCGACCACAGCTCCTATGTTTTCCCAAGGAGTCCAGACCCAGAGAGAACTTGAGCTGCCTCTGCAAACTGTTGTGACCTTGAGCAAGGCCTGTTTCTCTAGGCATCAGTTTCCCTTCCTATCGAATGATAATACCCTCACTTTTTCAAGGCTGTCATGAACTGAAGCCACACATGGAAAGTGGTCACTAATGAGCTTGGAAAAGGTGAGTCTCTCTTCTCTCTCTCTCTCCTCTCTCTCTCTCTCATCCCACTGAACTTTAGAGATGGGAGGGCCTCGTGTGGAGCCTGGTGTGAGGGAGGGGCCAGCCAGCGTCATGGAGCAAGGACCTGGAAGCTGGGCTACGCTGCAGCAAGGTGAAGAAAGCCCTGCCCATCGTGGCCAGGGACTCACAAGACCGTGGACATGACAGTGCTGCTCCTGGAAGACACAGACCAAGATGGTGCCAGGGTCCAGGGGAGCTCTGGCCAGGCAGGGGGGTAGTTGGTCATGGCCAGAGGACTCCAGAGATTGTCCAGTCTCCTGGGTTCACAATGGGGGAACTGAAGCTCAGCAGGAGGAGGGGACTTGGCCATGTGCAGGGAGGTGGCAGAGCAGGCAGACCAGCACTGGTGGGTGCCTGTGTCACAGGCAAGTGGTCTAAAAACAGGACTTGCTCCATAGATGTGTATCAGCCAAAAAAAAAAAAAAGCAGGTTTTTTCTTTCTCATTTGACTTATTTTTGTGGTACTGGGGATGGAACCCAAGGCCTTGCAATTACCTTGCAGTAGCATTCTACTACTGAACTGTGTCTCCCACTCTGAACATTTAAAACAACCTAATATGTACATTACAGTATAAAGGAATCAGTGCAGGGCAGGGTGGTGCATGTCTGGAATCCCACTGGGTCAGGAGGCTGAGGCAGGAGGTTCCCAAGATCAGCCTCAGCAATTTAACAAGGCCCTGTTCCTGTCTCAAAATAACTTAAAAAAATAAAAGGTCAGAAGGAGCAGCTCAGTGGATAAGCACCCTGGATTCAATCCTGGTACCAAAAAAAAAAAAAAAATTAAACAGCAAATTTGACCTTAAAAATCAATATTTAGATAAATAAATTACTTATATATACTTCTTGGTAATACTTCAATGATTAGCAATTGTAATTTAAGCAGGGTCTTCTCTCCTGCATAGTTTTTCTCTTGGTTTCCAGAATAAAAATTCTTATTATCTTTCCATATGATTATAAAGGTAATAGATGGAGTAAAAATAGCAGACTAAGAATGATAAATACCTTTTAAATTATTTATATTTTTGAGACAGGGTCTCACTATGTTGCCTAGGTTGACCTCCAACTCCTGGACTCAAGTGATCCTCTTGCTTCAGCCTCCTGAGTAGGTGGGACTACAGATAGAGGCCACTGCACCCAGCAAAATTAAAACTGTAATGCCACATTGTTCACATGGGGTAAATACACCTCTTGACAAGGCATCTAGAACGCTATCAAGTTTCAATCCATCAGGTCCTAAGAAGTCCTCCCTTCAAAAGCAGGGCTCAAGGGAGGGTGAGGTGGGAAGATCACAAATTCAAGGCCAGCCTGGGCAACTTTGGAAGACGCTGCCTCAAAATAAAAACTAGAAAGAAGTGGGGATGTAATCCAGTGTAGAGTACTTGCCTAGCAGGTGCCAGGCCATGGGTTCAATCTCCAGTACAGGAGAGGTTGCCCTAGGCCCTGGGTTTGATCCCCAGTTGCTGGAATTGATGACACACGCCTATAATCCCAGAGATTCAGGAAGCTGAGGCAGGATGTCTCAAGCCCAAGGCCAGCTTCAGCAATTTAATAAGACCTTGTCAAAAAAAAAAAAAAAAAAAAGTGTTGGTGATATAGCTCAGTGTCAAGTACCATTGGGTTCAATCCCCAGCATGGGGTTAGTGGGGGTTGGGGGAAGCAGGGTCCATAGCTGTCAGGATTTGGGCATCTTAATTTCATGGTCATTCTTGTGGTGAAGATAATTATATTTTTTCTGCCCCCACCCTCCAATTAAGCCTAAGGACAATCTAGCACTGAGCTACATTCTCACCCTTTGTATTTTTGAGATAGTCTCACTAAGTTGTTCAGGCTGGCCTCAAACTTGAGGTCATCCTACTTCAACCTCTAGCAAAGCTGGGATCACAGGTATTTTTGAATGGTTACATATAACTACAGCTCTATATCTTCTTCTTAGTTCTCTTCTAAACGTATTTCCCAGGGGCTTTGAAAGCTTTCTTTCCTTTTTTCCACAAGGCAAATAAAAACAGCCTAATAGGCTCCTACCCTTGTCTGAAAGCCCCTTGGCCCCCAAATATTCTGGCTACAGGCAATTATTCAAAACTTAAAACAGTTTCTCGCTGGTCACCTCCTCCTCAAAGTTGGGAGGTAGTTTGGTTGACATTAGTTGAAATCCTACTATTTGGCCCCTGGGAAGCTGAAACAGCTTAGACAGGCAGGACTTTTAAGCATAACATTTAAATAAGTATTTCAATCCTAGAACAGTAGGAAAGTAAAGCAGTTCAGAAGAACTGAAGGTAACAATTTTAAGTACCCCAGAACTTACTCCCAAGTTGAGTTGAATGATAGGGGTTTTCAGTGACCAGTACACACATCCAAATGGCTCTCTGACACAAATGTTCAACCCAACATTACCCTGATAAAAGTAGTAATGTTTTCTGTTCTGCTTGTTCTATTTAATTTGTGTTAATGCTGCTAGTGTGAACCTCATGAAACAGCTCTCTTGGTGGTCAAAACGGTCAAGCCCGGGCAATTTGTATGATTCAACCTATTTGTGACACTAATTTCACAATCCACTTTATGGACTGCATCCCATACTTTAAAAATCATTGTTTAATTGAGAATATCCAACAATAGTAATAATATAGAGCAAAGTGGGCACTGACCCCTACCCTTACCTCCTTGCTCTTGTTAGGAGTATAAACCAGAAAAGCATTTTGGATAGTAATTCAGCAGTATCTGTCAAAATTTTTAATGTGTATTCATTTGACACAGTACTTTCACTTCAAGGACTCTATCCTTCAGATATACATTTTTATACTTATTATAATGTGGTGCTGAGGATCAAACCCAGTGCCGCACACATGCTAGGCAAGTGTTCTACCACTGAACCACAACCTCAGCCCCCTTCAGATATATTTGTATGTTTGCAAAGATCTAAGATATTATGAATGTAAAACTCATATTACAAAACATATATCAGTAGAAAAACTGTTATATCCATATTATGAAATATGAAGTCCTTAAAAGACTAAGATTTATACATATTTATACAGAAAGATGTCCAAGATACATTGTTAGAGTATTTATAGTGCACTGAAGAACACTAAAAAAAATTGTTTAGCAGGTATGCTTCCAGTTAGTGTGATTTATAAAATTAACATGGATTGAAATTTACCTTTTCACTTAATGCAGCATGGCACCTGTCCACGCTGGTATTACAGTTCCACCTCACCCTACTTAAGGGCTTGTGAATCCATCACAGTTTACATGCACCCTTGTCTAGTGAATCTGCCTGTACTGAGAACACCTAAGCTTATTTCCAGTTTTTCTTTTTTTTTCTCCTTTTTTGAGGGGGCAGTGCTGGGGACTGAACCCAGGGCCTCAGCATGCTAGGCAAACACTCTACCGACTGAGGTACACCCCCCAGCCCTCCCTTTCTTGTTGTTCCAATCCATGATATAATGGATTTCATTATATCACAAATATTCATGAACAGGGCTTGAATTTCTGTAGCGTCAATTCCTAAGACAATACAGCAGGCTCCTATGGTCTGAGCATTTCCCATTTTGATCTTAGTTGTGTGTCAAAGCCTTTGAGTAGGAGTGATGCTCATTTTCTTCTGTGTGTGTGCTTGACAGAGGGTAACTAGTGTCACCCAAGGGCTCATTCAGGCACCTTGTCTGTCCAGCCTTCATTTGCCCATAGTCTCCTTCTGCAAGATGGGAAACAGTCCCTCTTCAGGCAAACTCCAGGGAAGCACCTGGAAAAAACTGTTGGCCAGACCTGAGTTCAAATCTTACCCTGGTTTCTTAAACTCTCTGGACTCCATGATCACATCTACAAAAAAACAAAGAAACTTCTCAGGGTCACAGGGAGATGAAGGGGAACAACAGGAGTGGATTGTAAATGGTTCCCCAGGAGTTTGCCATTATCTTCAGTGGCTGCTGATATTCTTTCACAAGCATTAGACAGGGGCTATTCCAGATTAATTACTCACACTTACCTTGTGAGCTGGGGAAAAGATTAAGAATAACACAAGGCTCTCTCACTTCTGAGCTCACAATGGACTTGTCCCTGGTCTCACCTTCCTTACATTCTCTGGACCTCTTGGGCACTAAGGTAAAGAAGGAAATACTGGGTTTGGCAATGTGGTGCAAACCTGTAATCCCAGAAGCTTGGGAGGCTGAGGCAGGAGGATTACAAGTTCAAAGCCAGCCTCTACAACTTAGTGAGTCCCTGTCTCTCCTGTCTCAATATAAAATATAAAAGCAGGGGGAGTTGGGGGGGATGGGTTGTAGCTCAGTGGTAGAGCACTTGCCTAGCATGTGCGAGGCCCTAGATTCAATCCCCAGCACCATGTAAAACTAAATAAACAAAATAGAGGTATTGTGTCCATCTACAACTAAAAAAAATATATTTTTTTAAAAGGGCGGAGAGGTAGGGAAGGAATTCTAGGACAAAGCCATTCTTTCAACAACAAATATTTATTGAGCACCTACTACATGCTGGTCACTGTACTAAGTAGCACCCGGACCTCAGTTTTCAATTCAAAAGGGCTGGAATTGTTTCTTAACACAAAGCATCTTAGGTGAGACAATTCTTTGTGTGGGTCTATTCCCTGCATTGCGGAGCACTTAATCCTCTAAAGGACAGGACTCTATTGTCACTGGAACAACTCCAAAATGCTCTCGCACACTTCGAAATGGCCCTCTAGGGGGCAGTATCGCCCTGGATTTAGAAACCCCGGCCCACTTCCTCCAGGAGACTGGGAAAGGGGGAGGCCCCTTCTCTACTGTCACCGGCAAATTCAGGATGAGGTCGAGGCCCAAGGTGAGCAGGAACTGGGCAACCCACTACTTCCCGGATGAGCTCGCCATCAGCCTCCGGGTACTTGGTTCAGGACCTCTTCGCAAGTACTCCCCACCGTACCAAGATACAACTCCATAACTTCAGCCTCCCGTTCCCGGCCGAGTCCTGGGATCTTGGGGAGAAAGGAATGGGGGTTTTGCCTCGGTCCTCAAGAATCAGTCTTCGGGAGGCCCAGGGTTAATGCAGGGAGGCGCCTAGACGCCTGAGCGCCACTAGAGGGACCACGGACACAGCTCAGCCGGGCAACTTTACGGTCACGTGGTGGTGAGGGCGGGTCCAAACAAGGGGCCAGGCCAATAGGCTGTGCTGTCGGTGGGTGTGATGGCCAATAGGAACAGGGAGCGGGGTCTCGGACTGTAAGAAACGACGACTGGGAGGGGGCTACGGGACCATGGGGCTTCTGACCATACTGAAGAAGATGAAGCAGAAAGAGCGGGAGCTGCGACTGCTAATGCTGTATCCTCCCGGACGCCGCAGCGCCGAGGGTAGTAGGGGCCCCCGCCGCGTGGGCGGTGCCAGGCGCCCCCTGCCGGGCGCGGGTGAGCGGCCGGCCGGCGCGAACAACTGCCCATTGTGCGTCACGCACGTGGGCCCTACCAATCGCTGGCGGCGGGGGCCGAGAGAAGGCCGTACCACCGGCTCGGGCCGGGCAGGGGGGACTCGGTTCCAAACGCCGAAGGTGTGGGCCTAACGGCGCAGCGCGCGACCGTGTGTCCCTATTGCAAGGAGGAGGTGGGGCTCGGAGGTGACCCGAACGTCACCGTCCGTCTCCGTCTGGCCTGAGCGTGGGCCCCTGTCCTCTCTGAGGCCCTGACCTCCTCCCCGATGTCCAAGGGTGCCGGGTCCTGCCCCGCCCCCGAGGTCGGAATCCGGGGGGCGTGTGGGGCCAGCTCTGGGCTCTGCGCCCGCGGGTGTCCCCAACTCGGTCCACCGTGACTCTAACTGTCACCTCTACTGCCCCTCCGCGCGTCGGTGTCCCCGCGGCCTGCGGCTTGTAGGACCGAGGGCCCAGCCGGCCTCCCGAGCCCGGTTAGCAGGCGGCTGCAGCCCTGGCCCTGCCCTGTGCGGCCGTGGGGAATGGCAGAGCTAGGCCGGCCTCGTCCCCGGCCCGGGGAGAGCAGAGACGTGCGCACGTAACTTAATAAGATCCGCATCGCATTTCATTTAAAGAGCTCTGAGAAGGGCGCGGAGAGGTCACGCATTCAATAAATATTTATTGAGCGCCTACTACGTGCTGGGCACTGGCCTAGGGGCTGGGGTGAAACAACCAAACCAAATCCTGCCCTCATGAAAATTCTGTAACAGGGGAAGAGGAAGACAAGACCGCAAAGAAGTGAAATATGTAGTATGAATGGAGAAGAAAGTAGTTTAGGGAGGCCAAAGAAGGCCGCCGTCCGAGCGTACCTGACCTCCTGACCCAGTGACCGCTGGATAAAGACATGAAGGAGATGAGGAATATGGGGGGGGGGCATTTAAAGCAGAGGCCAGTGAAAAGTCCTGAAGGAGGCACAGTTGGTGTGTTCGGTGGATGCCAGGGAGGGTGGTGTGGCTGGGGAGGTGAGGACAGGGAGCATCCTAGGATCTTTAGTTCTTAGCTCTCACTTTAAGTGAGTACCAGATGCGAGGCCATGAACCGAGCCCAGTTAGGCAGCTGTACTCATGCAATGGATATAGAATGGTGGCTTGGACTAGGATGGAAGTAGTGAGGTCACGGAAGTAGGGGGACACCGTGATAGCAGGGCCAGCGGGAATTGCTGCTAGGTGGGAGAGTGAGAGAGGAAGTGGAGTGAAGCCTGCGGCCTGGGTTTCTGGGCTGATCCATGAGAAGACAAGAGCCACTTACGGAAATGGGGAAGACTAAACGGGGAGGAGCAGGTTCCCCGGGAAGTGATAGTTCTGAGCTTTGTGGGCCACTTGTGTCTCTGAGATGCCTTGGAGTACCAGGTAGGCTGCAGGATACAGGGCTTACTAGAGGGGCGTGGGTGGGTGGCGTCAGCACAGGGATGGTGTTTGAAGCTATGATCCTGGAGGGACTCACCTAGGGAGCACCGTGTGCACAGAGAAGTGAGTTGTGGAAATACAGATAAGAAGTCAGGCAGGGCGCAGAGGAAATCAGGGCCTAGGAGGAGGAAGGAGGGTGAGCCACTGTTGTCAGGTGCTGCAGGTGAGGGCCACTGTCCACTAGGGAGCAGTGGGGGGGATCTGGAGGACCCACTTGGCAAGAACAGGTTTGGGAAGCAGTGGGAGCCGCAGCCTGCTGGGCCATATGTTTAACAAAGAGCAGGGAAACAGAGGCTCTGGTGAGTGTGAACAACTGTGGGAGGAGGTGTGCTGTGAAAGGGAAGGTAGGAGTGAGTCCCTGGGGCAGGGGATGGAGAGGGTTTTGTTTGCGGCATCTGAGGGGGAGAAACAATAGCATATTTGCCAGCTGCCAGGGATGATGTGGGGGAGAAGGAAAGATGGAGGACAGCATTAGGGAGATGGGGAGAATCTGGAGCCAGTTTTCAGGGGCTAAGGTCTCTGCGAGGTACTCTCCTCGCCTCCATTTTACAGGTTGAAGTCATTGGTCCCAGGTCCAGTGAGCAGCAAGAGGCACTAAGCCCAGGACCTCCCCCCCGCCCCATCCGGGCTGCATGTGCCTTAAGTGTTGGAAGGAGAGCAGGGTGGTTCTCCCCCACTGGTGAGCTTATCCATTCTTCTGCTTTCTGCACCAGAGGTTGTGGAACATTCCAGAAACAGAGATGGAGGTTTCTGCCTCTGTGTATTTGCTCTTCCTTCAGCCCTTCAAAAAAGCTAACTCCCTATATCTCAGGCCTCGGTTCAGTGTGCCTCTGGGAGCCTCCCCTGGCAGGAGCTGAGAGCCCTCCCTACAGGTGCCCCTCGAGGTGGCTCCCTGGGGCTTGCCACATTCACGGGATCTTATTTTCTCAGTGGCACTTTATCACAGTCTCCTCACTAAGAGTGCAAGCTTCATAAGGGCAGGGAGTTTGTCCCTCAGCACCTAGAGAGGGCCTGGCACATAGTAGGTGTTCAATCAATATTTTGTATATGAATTAAAGAGCTTTTGATTAGCAGAGATGATACAATTATATCTTTTTGTTGTTGTTGGTACTGAGAAATGAACCCAGGATGCTTAACCACCCAGCCACAGGCCCAGACCTTTTAATTTTTTATTTTAAGACGGCCTCACTAAGTTGCCTAGGGCCTTGCTAAGTTGCGGGGGCTGACCGCGAAACTGTGATCCTCCGGCCTGGGCCTTTGGAGTCACTGTATGTTGCTAGTTCCATGCTTTCTCCAGGCCAGTTTTGGGCCAGCACGTGCTCAATTCTTTTTGACATGATGGGAAATTGTCAGTCCCTAAGAATGACATCACCACTGGCACAGCACAGGGACCTCTCCTTAACCTGTGTGCCCCAGCGGCCTGGACAATGCCGGCAAGACAACTATCCTCAAGAAGTTCAACGGGGAAGATGTGGACACCATCTCCCCGACTCTGGGCTTCAACATCAAGACACTGGAGCACCGGGGGTGAGTGGGGCCTGGGGCCTGCCCTGAGGGGGCGGTGGGTGGGGAGGACCAGCTGACCACCAGCCGCTCTCTGCCCAGATTCAAGCTGAACGTCTGGGATGTCGGTGGCCAGAAGTCCCTGCGCTCCTACTGGCGCAACTACTTTGAGAGCACTGACGGCCTCATCTGGGTGGTGGACAGCGCGGACCGCCAGCGCATGCAGGACTGTCAGCGCGAGCTCCAGAGCCTGCTGGTGGAGGAGGTGGGCCGGGCGGGGCGGGGCAGCATGATCCCTGGGGGACACCTGGGGACCCAGAGTGCCAAGGGCAGAAAGCATGCTGTGGACAGAGACCTGGGTTTCCATAAATTTGGTTTTACTGTGTCACCACCCTGAGCCTCAGGTTCCGTACCTTGAAATGGGAATGACAACACTCACACCATAGGGCTTTAGGGAGCATCCTCAAGGTCAGCGTGTGAAGCTCTGGGAGGCAAGGAAGCCTGGCTCAGGAGTCTGCCACTGCAGTGTGACCTCAGGAAGGCACTCAACCTCTCTGAGCTTCCACTTCCACATTCCTAAAATGGGGATCACAGTTAGGCTGATCTCATAATTTATTGTGTGGCCCCAACACTTTTTTTAAAGTAAGATTTTAGATTTACAGAAGAGTTGCAAAGACAGTACAAAGATACTCCCCCCCTCACCCCGCTTCCCTAATGTCAGCATCTCAGAGAGCCCTGGTATACCTCTTACACCAGGAAGCTAGCATTGGTGAGTTACTGTTATCTATCTACAGGTCTTATTTGGAATTCACTATCTGTGTGTGTGTGTGTGTGTGTGTGTGTGTGTCTGTTGTTTCCACTCATGGGCTTTGTCTCTTCTGGGGTTTGATGCAGGTCACTTGCTGCATTTAGTAGAAACCAGGCCTCTTGAGAGCGGTAGTGAAGTTGTGAATAACTCCAGGAACCACAGTGACATGTGGTCCCCTCCTGGGGGTGTCGCAGATCCACTGAAGTCCTGGCTGTCCAATGCTGAGCCCAGGCCTGGCAGGTTGAGGCCAAGCAGGTCATGTCCACCCGCCCACATGGAAGGACTCCCAGTTGTAAACGCATAGAAATGACAGAATCAGAGGCAGACAGCGGAGCCTTTTGGGAATGGAATGTTCAGAAGGGCTACAGCCAGGTGCGGTGGTGCACGCCTGTAATCCCAGAGGCTCTGGAGGCTGAGGCAGGAGGATCACGAGTTCAAAGCCAGCGTCAGCAATGGCAAGGGGCTGAGCAGCTCAGTGAGAACCTGTCTCTGAATAAAATACAAAATAGGGCTGGGGTGTGGCTACGAACACTTGGAAGAGGGAAGGTGGCCACTTGCAGCAGCAGACGCCCAGGAGGCTGGGAGGCCCGTGTGGCGTGGGCTCGCCAGGCCACAGTCCTGAGCGGCAGGACTGCAAGGGCTCAGGAGCCATCTTGAGTATCCCCTCCCTGCTTATCAAAGAGGAAGCTGAGGCATAAAGGAGAGCGCCCACCGGGGGTGGTTGGCTGGAACCATGACCCAGGCGCAGCCCTGGGCTCTGCCCCTCGCCTGGGCCTCTCCGGGAACCCACAGCCTGGTCTAGTCTTCAGGGTGGTCTCTGACCCCAGTGCCCCCTCCTCCCCGCAGCGCCTGGCCGGGGCGACCCTTCTCATCTTTGCCAACAAGCAGGACCTGCCTGGAGCGCTGTCCTCCAACGCCATTCGCGAGGTGAGTCCAGTCCCTGGGGCAGCCTCCTGAAGGAAAGGGGCATGTTTCTATATTAATTGGTGTAAAAAGCACTTTTGACCCCTGCTGTGTGGCGGACAGACGTCTGTGGGCACCAGAGACTCGGTGTCAGTCAGTTCGATGGCACTGGAGCCAGCACACTGCGAGTGCGCCCCTTGTGATGCTCTCGGCATGGATTCGCTGAATTCATTCTCACAACAGCCTCGCTAGGTAGGGACTGCTGTCGCCATTTTAAAAGATGGTTAAGCAGACTTAGAGAGGTTAGATGATTTACCCAATGACACACAGCTAGAAAGTGGACAAGCCAGGATTTAAAAGCAGGCCTATCTAACCCGGTAACTAAATCTTAACCATTACGCTAGTGTTCAAGCACCATAATGAGAAAGAGCCAGGTTAGAATGTTGGTTCTGCCACTTACCAGCTGTGTGACCTTAGGCAGGTTCCATAACCTCTCTGAGCTTTGGTTTCCTCCTTGGTAAAATGACCAACACAATCCCAGACTCATGAGGCCTTGGGAGGAGCAGATGAGATGTCATATGTAGGATTCCTGACGCAGAACCCAGTCCTAGGAGATGCACAGGGGCCCATGTTGCTTTTTTCACCATTGAGTGTCAGCGGTGTGGCCCTACAGACAGCCCAGGTGCCCAAGGGGTGGCAAACCCGACGGGGTGACCCTTGGACAAGGCCTTGAGGGAGACACAGAGTTCCCCCGGGGCCAGGAGAGGGCAGGCCGGGACTCTGGCCCCCGCCCACCAGCACCTCCTGCCCGCAGGCCCTGGAGCTGGACTCCATCCGCAGCCACCACTGGTCCATCCAGGGCTGCAGCGCCGTCACCGGGGAGAACCTGCTGCCCGGCATCGACTGGCTCCTGGACGACATCTCCAGTCGCATCTTCACAGCTGACTGAACCACCTGGATGTCCCCACTCGCGGTCCAGGCCCCAGCCCCCCCAGCTGCCACCTTGCGGAGCGGAGTCAGCCCGCTGGACTAACACGCCTGCCCTCCCGGAACCTGCTGCTGCTACTGCCCGCTGCTGCTGTCCCACGGCAGGAGGCTGCACCCCTCCAGTCACCCTGGCTCCCGACCCAGCCCCCAGCGGCCACACCAAGGAGAGGGGCCTGGGCCGGAAGGGGCAGCCTCTGCTGCTCTGGAGGCCCTGGGCCTCATCTTGGGCTCAGCTGTGAGAATAAAGCACTCCCGTCCAGCTGCTGGCTGAGCCCCTGTGCTTCACCCGCCTTGAAGTCCACCTGGGGCCCTAGAGTCTGGCAGGGCGCATAGAGGAGCAGAGGGTCATCTGTGTCAGAGGGACGCACAGAGTTGCCAAAGCCCAGGTCAGGGCTGCACCTGGTGCCATCTGGAAGAGTCCAGGCGGCTTCTCAGCGGAGGCAGCCTTAGAGCTGGGAATGGAGGAGGAGGAAGGGTCTGGGTAGAGAATGGGTGGCAGTTTACCAGGGCAACTGCATGGCTCCTAGGGGGGAATCAGAAAAAGGCACAGCCGCAGGCCTGGGCTCATGGTGCACAGGTTGTTGAATGGAACATGGGCTAAAAATGGCCTCCCTACTTGCTGTTGTGACCAGAACCCCTTGTGCAGTGCACAGCCTGTACAGCTGTACATGGCAGTGCTGCTCAGGCAGAATCGCAAAGCAGAGGCAGGAAAGAGCAAGGGCTCTTGAGAATTGGGAGAACATGGACTTGGGCACAAGTAGGCCCACAGGGAGAAAGAGGGAGTGGGCTGCATCGGGCAGGGATGGTTAAGGCCTTCCCTGAGGCATGTGAAGCCAGGCCTCCTGGACCTCAATCCAGGCAGCAAGGCCAGCAGGTGTCTTCATGGGGCTGTTGTTCTAAGTACTATTCGGGGATCAAGGCAGCTAAAGACAGGCCTAGGGCATAGACCATCAGTGTCCCCTGACACTGGAAGCTGAGCCCCCAGGAGATTAATAAGTGGCCACCTCAAGCTCCCAGCAAGTGGCACACTGACCCTGCATCCTGGCCACCACGCCCTGCTGCCTCCTGCACAGCGGGGGCCTAACCATCTTCAGCTTCTCTTTGCTCAAAACCCTCTTAATGAGGACCTGCTGCCCACGAAGCCCACGGGACTGTGTCCAAGGGAGGAAGGACATCTTCATGACAGTTGGATGCTGTTCGTAAAGGCGAGGAGGAGACCCTGGGATTTGCATCTGAACTAGCACTAGGGTCCCTTCCCCGAGGGGTAGAGGTTCCTTTAGGGTGAGCAGAGGAAGCAGATGTTGGGTGGCCAATCTTAGGACATGCTCAAAATTAGGAACCCCTGCCCTGTCCTCCTTGAGGGACAGTTGCTGAGGTCAGCAGCCTCCAAACCCTGTGACCAGCAAACACTTGAGTCCCCGCAGCCAAACCCCAGCCCTGCCATGTGCTCCTTAAGGCTTAGCAACTTGCTTAACATCTGTGCCTCAGTTTCCCCATTTGGGGAAATACAATGGCATCTACCTCCCAGGGTTGGGATGAGGACCGAACTGGTTGGCGCCTTGTATGTCATAAGCACCAAGTGTCAGCTACGATTAGAATGAACAGCGTGGTCCAAGCAGGTCCAAGCAGTGTGCACTGTTACCCCGTGCTTGTGGACATGCTGGTGGTCCCCTTAGCAAGCCACACCCTGATGGAGAGGTGAATTACACACAGCTGGGGGCCAGCAAGAGCGCAGCATGGTTGCTCATCACCTAGGTCTGGGTGGAGAGCCTGCCCTGCTGAGGCAGGAAGGATCCCAGCAGGATCCAGCAGACCCGGGACACAGGCAGCTTGGTGGCTTCCCCTCTCCCCGCTGTCTTCTGGTCAGGGAAAGGGCAGAGGGAGGGAGGGAGGGGGCTGAGGAGGCCAGGAGCCACAAGCTGCCCTGCAAGCTTCAGAGCTTGTGCGGTGCCAGGGGACAGTGCCACACCCCAACTGCTTAATGCTGCCTGGGTGACCTACCCGCGTTCAGGCCCCAGAGTGCAATTCTGTCGTCTATTTCCACCTGGAGCCTGCAGCACAAGGTTCGTACCTCCGAGTTCCAGGAAGAAAAGTCCCTGTCCTGCCAGTGCTTCACCTCACTGTGGACTCAAAACTTTATGGTGCAGTTCAAGATTTTGTCTTCAGTGTAACACTGACTGGAGCAAAGGTGACCACAGTGCCAGGTTTGAAAACCCCGTTCTCACTTGGCCCCAAGGACACACAAGGACAATGTGTGTCACCAGCCTGGAGAGTTCCAGAAAGGCTGACCCTAGAGCATGTCAGAGCCTCGGGGACTGCAGCTCCTCTGCCACCTTTACGGTGACTTCTTCCCTTGAACCAAGCCATGGTAGCCCCTGCTTCCTATGTTGTCACCTTTCCAACTGGACGCTCCCACACGAATGCTACACTGTTGGGTTGTAGGGAATTTTCCTAATGTAGGCACTGCCTTCTGGAAGAGTCCCTCCTGTCTCCTCTGTAGGGTGGCCCAGCGGAAAAAACACAGCTAGTGTTTCATACCTAACGCATGAGAGACCAACTGAAATTCCCACTACCTGCAGCAATCGCTTGAGATGGGCCTGCAAAGGGGTTTTTAAATATATACGTATATTTAGGAGGAACGCTGGGATTGAACCCAGGGCCTCCTGAGTGCTAACCACAAGCTCTATCACTGAGCTACACCCAGTGTGCCACCCCCCCATGAAGTTTTTGATAAAGTCTGTATCCTGAAGCTTCCATGATAGTCATGAAAAATTTGTTGGTCTCAAATTTTCACAGGGACATATCAATGAGGATACCAGGCTCACATTCAGGTTTCGGTTTATCCAGGATCCAGGTACACTTGAAGGAGGCTTTTTCCATCTCACTCACCTCCTTCTCAAAGTTTTCCATGATTCTTTATTTATCCCCCAAATTTGTAGATGGGATTGCTGGTAGTGGTGGAGCTGCCCAAATCTACACTTTCACTGAGGACAATAAGTCTTTCCTCCTTTGATGTCTTGATGGCTTCCACCATACCTGTTTCTGGCTGCAAACCTGTAACAAAAACAAAAATCCTTCCCTGCAGCCATTGCAGAAGATTCTCTTCTAACCCCCTTTCCCCCTTCTAGAGATGAGAAACTGGATCTCAAGTAGTTAAAGGAAATTCAAACCATAAGAGTAGTGACTTAAGAGTCCCCAAACAGCATCCTGCCTCTCTGGCATTGTTTTTGCTGCCCTCAAGCTTACAGGAAACATGCATCAGCCAGTCCTGCAGAGGGAGAGAGGAATTTGGTTGTCTGGCACATTCTGAACACAATGAAAATTGGGTGGATGAGCTGGGCACAGCAGTGCTGTAGTCCCACCTCCTCTGAGGCTGAGGTGGGAGTTCAAGACCAGCTTGGGCAAAATACAAATAGGGGCTGGGGTTGTGGCTCAGTGGTAGAGCACTTGCCTAGCATGTGTGAGGCACTGGGTTCTATTCACAGCACCGCATATAAATAAATAAATAAAAATAAAGGTCCATTGGCAACTAAAAACATTTTTAAAATGATTTTTTTATATAAATACAAATAGCTGGGCGCATTGGTGAACGCCTGTAATCCCAGCGGCTTAGGAGACTGAGGCAGGAGGATCTCGAGTTCAAAGTCAGCCTCAGCAATGGTGAGACATTAAGCAACTCAGTGAGGCCCTGTCTCTAAATAAAAATGCTAAATAGGGCTGAGATGTGGCTCAGTGGTCGAGTGCCCCTGGAGTTCAATCCTCGGTACCTAATAAAAATAATAATAATAAATAAAAGTTGGGTGGCTGGATGAAAGAAGGGAAGCAGGGGAGACGTAGTTTGGAGGTCGGAAAGGTTTTCCGCCCCGATAGTATGCATTCAGTTCCCCACAAAAATAAAACCAGCAGCTGGAACCTGCCCAACCAATCCTTTCTCTCAAAATTTACAACATTTGCGCTTCAACAACAACAGGGATCTTTTCAGACGCTCCCTTGGCCGCGCGCTACGTCCGAGAACAGCGTCGTCACTTGCGACCAGCTCCCTGGGTCGGAAGGAGCAGGGCGCAGGCCCGGGCTAGGCGGCAGAGCGCAAGGGGCGGGGGTGGCGTGGAGGGGGTGCCTGCCGGCGGTCAGCCCCGCTGTAGCGGGGTTGTCATGTCTCGCCAGACGAAAGATGACTTTCTACGGCACTATACGGTCTCCGACCCCAGGACCCATGCCAAGGGCTACACTGAGTACAAAGTAACCGCGCAGGTGAGGTGGGGCCCAGCGGGGACCTTACCCTTTTAAGTGGCCAGGGGGTTGTGCTTTACCTTAAGGGAAGGCGCTGTAGGAAGCTCCTTTTTTAGACGACAGAAATGGGTTTCCCCTTTAAGGAAAGCCTGTGGTGGGCGCTGTCGTTGACTTCTTTCGCCATCGGGGGCGGGGCCGTGGGAAGGGCGTGGTCCTCTTTAAAAGGGCGTGGACACAGTTCCCGGACTTGTGAGGTGCGTGTGCCCACGCCCGACGCTTGCTGTCTGGGCCTCCGTCTGTGAGAGTCTCAGACGTGAAAACTCTGGCTTAACCCAAACGTTAGTTAGTTTCCCAATTTGGGGGTAAGTTTCATTTATTGGTTTGTTGGATACCTAAAAACCCTTTAAAGAGTTTATTTCTTAAAAAATTAATACAGGTCTATGGTTGAAAGAATTCACAATTCAAAAGGACTTGCATCTTCACGGTCATCGCAGGAAGAGGATAGGTGAAGGCTATAGTGGATATTGGAAGCAATATTATAAGCACATTCTATAGAGACATGGAGAAAACCATGAAAAGAATTTAAGATAAAACGGCGTAAGAGACTGCCTGTAGAATGATTTGAAGAATCGGTAATAATGGAGACCTCCAGGGAAAGTCTCTGGGGACTGGGTTGAGGAAGGACTTTTTTAGTGTTTTTTTGTTTTTTTTTTTTTTTGCTAGGGATTGAACCCAGGGGCTAACACTGAGCTACATCTCCAGCCCTTTTTATTTTGAGAAAGGGCCTCACTAAATTGCTGAGGCTGGCCTTGAACTTGTGATCCACCTGCCTCAGCCTCCTGAGTCACAGACGTGTGTCACAGCCTCCAGTTTAGCGTACATATTTTATACTCTTAGAATTTTGGGACGAGGCAACTACTAAATGCAGAATCCTAGATGTTTTCAAAATATGCTTTCCCCAAATCTTTTATGTCATTCCCATGCAAAAAAACTACAAATAAAGAGATTGCCCCTGGGAGATGGGCAGGAGGGGTAGGGGGTAGGAAGGATGTGGCCTTCTTCTGCAACCTTTGCCTACATGCCTCCTACTAACTTTTTAAACCAAGTAACATTCATTATTTGAGATAGCTGGGATGGGTCTATAGTTTTTTTGTGGATTGGGGTGTTTTTGTTTGGTGCTTTGCAGTAATGCAGATTGACCCGGGGGCATTGTGTGTGCTAGACAAGCCCTCTGTCACCAAACTACATCTCTAACCCTACTTTGATATATTTTTATAAATTATAAAGATAAATTTTGCCCACTTGCCATCCCCATGTCTCTGTTGCTACCAGTTTGTTGATCCTTGAAAATAACTACATTTACAAGCAAATTAACATGTCTACTTTAGTAGTATTATTTACACACAATGGAGTTGTGCTTCTGACTCTTTTTGCTTACTGGTGTTTCTAAGTGAGTTTTTGTGTTTTATTTTACTTTAATTTTTTTTAAGATTGCAAATAAAAGCATTCTGACTCATTTTTATTATCAAAAAACATTTTTAAATTGAGACACAGTTTACATAAATGAGCTCAGTCTTCAATGTACAGCCTAATCAAATTTCACTAAAAATATAATGTGTGCAAACACCACTCAGATGGAGAGAGACATTTTTATGACTCCAGAAAATTTCTTTTCATCTCTCCAATCACTGGTCACCCTCCCGCAGAGATCACTACTCATCTGATTTCTGTCACCAAAGATGAATTTGGTTTGTTCTTGAATCTCATATGAATGAAGCAATGAAACAAATATTCTTTTGTGTTTGACTTTTTTAACTCAACATAATATTTTTGGAATTCGCCCAGGGCTTTGCACATGCTGATCAAGTGTTCTACCAAGTTAAATCCCTGCCTTTTTTATTTTTTTGGCACCAGGGGGTGAACCCGGGGCGCTTGAGCACTGAACCACATCCTCAGTCCTTTTTATTGTTTATTTTGAGACACAGCTGGCCTTGAGCTTATGATTCTTCTCCCTCAGCCTCCTCAGTCACTGGAATTATAAGCAGGCACCACGTCACCTGGCCCCAGCCCTTTTTATATTTTGAGACAGTGTCTCCCTAAATTGCTGAGGCTGGCCTCAAACTTTTAATCCTCCTGCCTCAGCCTCTTGAGTCAAAAGGATTACAGGTGTGCGCCACTACACCTGGCTCACCATTTCTTTATTAATTATGTTGAATATTTCGTTTTTTTCTTAAACATTTTTTTAGTTGTTAAATTGTATGAACTCTCAGGTACAAAATTTTTTTCTGGACATATCTGCTCATTTCTCTTTGGGATACACATAGGAATGGTACTGCTGGCGTGTGAGATAGGTATATGTCTAGCTTTACTGGAAATTGCCAGAAAGTTTTCCAAAGTAGTTGCCCATGTCATGCTTCCCTTATCACCTGCACTGGAAATCAACAGGATCTTTAATTTTAGTTATTCTTGGTATATATTTGGAGTATTAATTTGCATTTCTCTAATGAGTTGATATTGAGCACATTCTCCTAATAATCTTATAGGTCTTTTTTGTGGGAGGTGCCTGTTCAAGTATTCTGCTCACTTTTTTCAAGCTAATTATGCCATATTTATTCATACCAAATCACACTGTGTTGACAGGTAATGATTGAATACAGATACAGGCTGTCAGGAAAAGGGGAGGAGAAAAGGAGCCCTTAAAATAGGGGGTGGGGTTGCGGCTCAGTGGTGGGGCGCTTGGCTGTGTGTGCAAGCTGTGAGCATTTTGAGTGCTTGAGCTGACTGGACTGTGTGCAGGTGTGTGTCCTTTTCACTAGCTCTGCCTTTTGATCCCACTCAGCACCTGAGATGGGCGTGGACTTCCAAGATGTCAGTTAATCTGCTGACCATAAGACATCTGGAAGCTAGACTCCACCCCCTGAAACCTAACCCCCCACACCATTGGGGTGGAAAAAGGGGCTTTAGAAGTCCTCCTTCTTTTTCTCTCTCTTTTTTTTTGTGTGTGTGTGTGGTGCTGGGGATTGAACCCATGGCCTTGAACATGCGAGGCAAGTACTCTACCAACTGAGCTATATCCCCAGCTCCCTCTCTCTCTTTATTTCTGCCTCCCTAGTGGGAGCTGGAGCTGGGGAGCCATCGCTGAAGAATCCTGAGAAAGAGGTCTTTTTCTCTTGGTGTGGTTACTTCGTGCCAGCCCACATTCACCTGGAGTGAACCTGAACGACTTAGTCGTGTGTTGTGGCAACTGGGTTTCATTCTCAGCCCTGCATATAAATAAATAAAATAAAGGTTCATCAACAGCTAAAAAAAATTTTTTTTATAGGATAAAATGGCTGGGTACGGTGGCACATGTCTGTAATTTCAGCAGCTCTGGAGGCTGAGGCAGGAGGATCACAAATTCTAAGCCAGCCTCAGCAACTTGGCCAGGGACTGAGCAACTTATCAAAACCCTCTCTCTAAATAAAATGTATAAAATAAAAAGGATGGGATATGACTCGGTGGTTAAGTGATCAATCCCTGATACCCCCCCCAACAAAAAAAGGACTAGGGCTCAGTGATAGAACACTTGCCTAGCACGTGTGAGGCACTGAGTTCGATTCTCAGCACCACATATAAGCAAATAAGTAAAATAAAGGTCCATCAACAACTAAAAAAAAATTAAACAACAACAACAACGAGAAGAGTAAACACCAGGCCTTCTGAAGGCAATAAGGAGCCTCTTTCCAGAGGCTGCTCTCAGTTGACACTCGGGGAACTGCTGCATCTTTAAATTAAAGTCCTACATTAATACGAATTATGTCACGGTCACGTTTCTGAGTTCCATCCTTTGAGAATGACTCCCACCAGGGAGGCAGAAATAAAGGGAGGGGGGACTTTCTAAAGCCCCTTTTTCCTCCCCAAGTTTGTGGTCTTAAAGCAGCTTTCACATGTTGTTAGTTGTCTTCTGAACTGTGAGACAGGTACTCTTTTCTCAACTATTGGTGTGGAAACTGAGGCTTATAGATATTAAGTGACTTGGCCATATTTTGCTCATTTTTAAAAAATTGAGTTGTCTTAACCTTGGTTTTATAGAGGGTCTTTCTGGATTTGAGTCCTTTATCAGGTATATATTCCTTTTGGGGGGGGTACTAAGGATTGAACCCAGGGGGTATCCCTCAATGGTTTTTAAATACGGGCTTTGGGTTTGGTTTGGTTTTGCCATGCTTTAGGCAGGTCAGTTGTCAGAAGCCAAGGCCAGGTTTTAGTCTCAGCGCTGCCTTCCAGGCCATCCCCCGCTCTGAGCCTCCATGATTTCATCTTTTAAATAGCAATGTTTTAAAAACTCTCAAGGGCTGGGCTGGGGCTCAGAGGAGGAGCACTCACCTAGCATGCATGAGGCACTCAGTTCGATTCTCAGCACCCCATAAAAATAAAAGGTATCAAGAGAAAAAAAATCTGTCAAGAGCTGCAAGCTGTGGGACATTATTTTTAAATGATTATGAACATAAAACTGAATCTTCTTGTCAGCTCAGACCCAGCTCTGCACTTCGAGGGTCACCAGCCCCAGAGGTGGCTTCTTCTGTGACTGGGGGTGTTGGAACGCAGAGCTTTCTCCCTTAAGGAAGGACTGGCTCCTGGCGCACACATCTCCCTCCCTCCCTCCCTTCCTTCCTTCCTTTTGTCTCCTTTTTCAGTGCTGGGGATGGAGCCTAGGGCCAGGTGCAAGCTAGGCGGGCGCTCTTACCACTGATCTACCTCCCCAGCCCTTTTAAGATTTTTTTCTTTTAGAGACAGGGTCTCCCTAAGTTGCCCAGGCTGGCTTTGAACTTGGGATCCTCTTGCTTCAGCTGCCCCAGTGGCTGGGATTACAGGACGTGCCACCCCATTCAGCACAACCTCATTTCTTCAGAGGTTCGGGGTTCTTTGGTTTCGGGAGATAGAGAGACTTGGCCTCTGAAGGCTCAGGTTGAGAGCTGAACAGAGGACGGTGCAGTCTGGAGAGGCCTTTAGGGATCCTCCCATTTGAAGGATGAAGGAACTAAGGCATGCAGTAGAAAAATTGCTCAAAGTTGCACTAAAGCCCTAGCTTCAGGCTGCCTTGGTGGCTGAGGACATCTCCCTTGGAGGAGTTCTCAGAGGTCCCTGACCCTCCTCAGCTGCTGCAGTGTGGTGGGGTGTCAGGTGTCTGTCTCTGATCTCATGTGGTTCTTGCCTTTTCTTTCTCAGTTCATCTCAAAGAAGGACCCAGAGGATGTCAAAGAGGTGAGAATCGGGGGTGGCAGGGGGACTGTTCCCCAGTTCCCCAACTCCCCAGTTCCAGATCTGGAAGCAGTGGGTTATAGGTGACTGTGAGGAGCTGGGCCCTTCCTCCCTGGCCCCTGGTGGTCGGGATGCTGTCTTCTCCTCACAGGCCCCGGGGCAGACTGGGTGGGGGAAGGCTCCTGCCCACCTTGCTGGCCAGGTCACGTCTCACGCCCCTCTAGGTGGTGGTCTGGAAGCGGTACAGTGACTTCCGCAAGCTGCATGGGGACCTGGCCTACACCCACCGCAACCTCTTCCGCCGCCTGGAGGAGTTCCCCTCCTTCCCCCGGGCCCAGGTGTTCGGTGAGTGTCAGATCTGAGCTCTCGGCCCAGGACAGGAGAGTTGGGCAAAGGGGGCCATTGGCCCTTGGCTGGGCAGTGACTAGAGAGATGGGGCCCGGAACTATGGGCAAAGTCATTTGGAGAGCTGGGTGGATCCTCTGAAGGGAAATGGAGGCTCAGAGAAGCCTAGCCCTTGTTGTGAGTTGGGCCCTTTAACATTCCCATCTCTCTCTCTTGCTCGCTCTCTTTTTTTTTGTACTGGGGATTAAACCCCAGAGAGCCTTATCACTGAGCTACATCCCCAGCCCTTTGTATTTTTTTATTTTGAGACAGAATCTTTCTTTATTGCCAAGGCTATCATCAAATTTGCAACTCTCCTGCCTCAGCCTCCCATATCACTAGGATTGCAAGTGTGTGCCACCATGCCAGAACATTCCCATCTTTATTACCCCTACTTTGAAGATGAGGCATCTGAGGTTCAGTGAGGTAAAGGGTCTTGGTCTGTGTTTTAGTTTGTTTTCTGTTGCTAATAGACACAATACCACAGACTAGGCAAATAATTAAGAGAAGAGATTTATATGTCAGGTGTGGTGGGCAGTGCCTGTAATTCCAGTGACTAGGAGGCTGAGGCAGGAGGATCACAAGTTCAAGGCCAGCCTGGGCAACTTAGGGAGACTCTAAGCAACTTAGCAAGAGCCTGTCCCAAAATAAAAATATTTTAAAAGGGCTGGGATACAGCTTGGTGGTAAAGCACCCCCAGGTTCAATTGCCAGTACCACAAAGGGAGGAAAAAAAGAAGTTTACTTTGGCCCATAGTTATGGCAGAAGATTTAGAGGCCACATCTGGTGATGGCCTTCTTGCTGGCAGAGTCCCCAGGAGGCGTGGGGCCTCACATGGCAAGAGACAGGGACCTTGGCAGACACCTAGCCAAACTGGCTTTTGTAGCAAACCCACTTTTTTTTTTTTTTTTTAAGTGCTGGGGATTAAACCCAGGGCTTTGTGTATGCAAGGCAGGAAATCTGCTAATCAAGCTATATCCTCATCCCACAAACTCACTCTTGAGATAACCCATTTACCCATTAACCCACGGATCACATGAGTCCCCAGACTCACATGAGATATTCTTTGTATATGTGTGTGTGTGTGGTGCTGGGGATGGAACCCAGGGCCTTGTACATGCAAGACAAGCACTCTACCAACAGAGCTATGTCCCCAGCCCACAAGGTGAAGGATGTTACTTGCTACCGCAGGAATACATCAGGGTACTCCCACTAGCAACTTAATAACTAAGGCAGCGTTAGATAAATTTTAATAATATCTATACCAGCAGTGAGACTGCTGCTTGCTGTGTGACCTTGGGCATAGCACTTCTCTGAGCCTTACTTTCCTCTTTATTACATCACATCCATCTGAAATGACTTTGTTTTTTGTTGATTACCTGCCTTCCCAATTACAGCGTCACATCCTTGAGAGCGGAGACTTTGTTTCTCTCATCCATCTTGAACCCAGCATAGAGCAGGTGTTTAGTTAAACATCTGGGGTGCAGTGGTGCACACCTGTGATGCCAGCTACTTGGGAGCCTGAGGCAGGAGGGATTGCAAGTTTGAAGACTTTTGTTGTTGTTGGTACTGGGATTGAACTCAGGGACTTGTGCATGGTAGGCAACTCAGCAAAACCATCTCTCAAAGTAAAATTTTTTTACAAAGGGCTGGGATGTAGCTCAGTGGTAGAGCACCTGCCCAGAATGCACAAGTCCCTGGGATAGATCACCAGCACCAACAGAAAAAAAAAAAAAAAAAGAATGAATAGGGCCAGGTGTGGTGGTGCACACCTATAATCCCAGCATCTTGGGAGGCTGAGGCAGGAGGATCCAGTGTTCAAAGCCAGCCTCAGTAATTTAGCAAGGCCCTAAACAACTCAGTGAGACCCTGTCTCTAATAAAATAAAAAAAGAGCTGGTATGTGGCTTGGTGGTTAAGCACCCCTGGGTTCAGTCCCCTGTACCAAAAATAATGAGAAATAAAGAATGAATAGGGAGATTGAGCCCTGCAGGAGGCATCTGGAGAGATTGCTGGGAGGTTGGGAGGAGGCCAGTAGGCTGCTCACAGGCTCAGGCAGAGCCAGGAACAGTGGGCCTTGGTGTTAGAAGCCTCTGAGGTCACTGCTCTCCCGCTCCCTTGTCCTGGGACCTCAGGCCGGTTTGAAGCCTCTGTGATCGAGGAGCGGAGAAAGGGGGCCGAAGACCTGCTTCGCTTCACGGTGCACATCCCTGCACTCAACAACAGCCCCCAGCTCAAGGAGTTCTTCCGGGTATGTGCACCTGCCCTTCCTACCACCCCAGCACCTGGAAAGCTTACCTGCCCGCCAAGCTACACTCCCTCTGTTGGTCTTTCTGCAGGGTGGGGAGGTGACACGGCCCTGCGAAGTGTCCAGAGACCTGCACATTCTACCACCCCCTCTGATCCCCACACCACCCCCTGATGAGCCTCGGTTGCCCCAGCCACTTCCTGCAGAAAGGAGGGGCCTAGAGGAGTTGGAGGTATCAGGTACATGAGAATGGGATCCTATCCCTACCTGTGATCATAGTGACAACCCTGTCATGTCCCAGGCACCTGCTGAGGTCTTTGGATAGGTCATTTCCTGTCTTTATTTTCAGTTTCTTAATCTGTAAAATGGGCACAGACCCTGATGATGGGCTTGTCTATGCCTATTGCTGCAAGGATTTACTGAGAGGATCATCCCATTTTGAACTCTGTCGAGTGGTTTATGTGCAGGTGTTAATATCCCAATGGTCTGTCCTCAGCGGACCCCCCGCCGTCCAGCCCTGCCCAGGAGGCTCTGGATCTTCTCTTCACCTGTGGCAGCACAGAGGAGGCATCCGGCTCCCCTGCCCAAGGCCCTCTCTCTGAGGCTGAGCTAGCCCTCTTTGACCCCTTCTCCAAGGAAGGTAAGGAGCAGGAGCAGGCAGGGCAGGGATTGCAGTAGCAGGTCTTTGGGGGCAAAAGAGGAGGCAGGACCACCAGCCAGCTGTTTGCAGCTGTGTAAATCTGAGCAAGTTGTCCCTGTACAGTGAGCAACCATTGGGGAAGGAGATGAGCCATTTCTCCCTATGAAAGCTTGGAAGAGCAGGGTCCCATTGCTCTGGGAGGTTTTAGCTTGTCCTGCAAGTCCAAGGTGGGGCTTCCTGGCTGGCTCAGGGTCCCCTGCAGATCCTGGAGGTAGGAGAAGCCTGTCAGTCTGGGCTCAAAGTGCAGCCAAGGGAAGCCACTCTGCCTTGGAGGCCACCAGAAGCAGATGAGCTCCCCACATGGGACAGGGTCCTGAGCACTTTCCTGCTCTGAGACCAGGAACATGATAGTTCCCAACAGTGAGACACTGGGTTTTTCATTCAAAAACTCTCCAAGCTTCTGCTGTAACTGCAACCCAGGTGTTAAAGTGGTCAATCTCAGTTTGGGATGATCGTGAAACAGTTTCTCTTTTTATTCCTTAGGAGTGTTTTTAAGCTGGTTTTGTTGGCCCTCCTTGTTTGCCCTTTGGTGGCCTTGAGGGCTGACCCTTCACCTTCTGATGAGTTTCAGGCATCTGAGGCCCAGCCTAGGAGAGGAAACAGCCTAGGCCAGCCTGTGTCAGCTCCCATCTAGCTGTCAGCCTCACCTTCCCCCTGGCTCAGGCCAGTGGCCAGTGGCCAGGCCAGCAAGTGACAAGGGTGTGAGGAGCTTGCTTTTACTTGTTCTTCTTCCACACCTCCAAGGTTGGGGAAGGGGGAGAATGGATTGGGGACAGAAGAGGTGGTATCACCAGGGATGTTGTACCATCCTCTGAGTGCCAGGCACCCAGATTCCCTGGCCCAGCTGAGCTCTCTAGGGTTCCTGGTGGAAGATAGGACAGCCACTGGCAGTTGCTGGTTTTTTTTTGTTGTTGTTGTTGTTGTTGTTTGGGGTTTTTTTTGGTACCAGGGATTGAACCCGGGTGCTTTAATACTGAGCCGCATCCCCAGCCCTTTTTATATTTTATTTACAGACAGGGTCTCACCAAGTTGTTTAAGGCCTGAGTTGTTGAGGCTGGCCAAGTTTAAGCTTGCAATCCTCCTGCCTCAGCCTCCTGAGATGCTAGGATTACAGGTGTGTGCCACCACACCCGGCTTGGCAGTTGCTTTGAAAAGCCCTTTACAGGTTGCACCCCTGAGACATTTACTGTGTCCATAGGAAAATTCCCCAATCCTTGTGTCCCTGTTGCTGAAATGCAGTGTGCTCAGGCACTTCCTTCCCTCCTGACTCCCCAACGGTCGTTTATGCCAGGAGCCAGTACCCCGTGTCTCTCTCTCTTTTTTTTTTTTTTGTATTTATTTATTTATTTACTTATATTTTAGATTTGATGAACCTTTATTTATTTGTATGTGGAGCTCAGGATCGAGCCCAGGGCCTCACCCTTGCTAGCCAGGCACTCTACCCCTGAGCCACAACCCCAGCCCCACCCCTGCCTCTCTTCTTCAGACATTAAGCTCCTGACCTCAAGTATTTAGGGGCTCCACAAACTCCTGCGCTCCCTGCTTCCTGAGCAACACAGGGAGGGCTCCAGGCCCAGCTGGGAGGGGCGACATCCTCCTGCCTTCCTGCCACTCATCTCTTCGTGGATCTCCTGGGACTCCCCATTTGGATGGGGCCAGAGAGATGCCCAACCGTGCATTCCCTCTCCAGGACAGGAATGCCACGTGCTCCCTGCTCCTGTTCCTTCCTGTCAGAGGCCTCTTCTCAAAAGACTCACTGACTCTGTAGCCACCTCACATGAAAGCCACAGGGAGGATCTTTGACCACCTCCGGGACGTCATGAGCCCTTCAACCTGGGACGTGAAGATGCCAGTTGCCCACTGCCCCTCGCCCTGGGGTTCTCAGCTGAGATCCTGAAAAAGTCCCGGAGAGGCCTGGGGCGGGGGCTCAGGGTAGAGCACTCGCTTAGCATGCGTGAAGCACCGGGTTTAGTCCTCAGCCCCACATGAAAATTCATAAAGGTATTGTATCCAACTACAACTAAAAGAAAAAGCCCTGGAGGGTGTAGCTTGCCTAGCATGTGCAAGACCCTGGGTTCAACCCCCAGCACTGTCAAAAAAAAAAGAAGGAAGGAAGGAAAGCCGCATTTTCACCCTTAGCCTGTATAGTTAGTCTACCATCCTGTAACTGAACTTGTGGAGAAACTCTTGCATTCCTAGGCCAACTGGAGTCAGGAAAGAAAAATAGGACCAGTGAGTGACCCAGAGCTCAATAAGAAAAATTAGTGTATACCTAAAGAATTAGGAAGGTAGGACTCTTTTTGCTATACTCAAGTGGCTTCTAGACTGTCCAGGCCCTGCACCCCTCCACTGAGGACACACTGGTACCTAGATGGGTCAGAGAGGTTTGGGAGGGTTCGACAGTCCATGGGAAGTGAAGGGCCAGTAAGGCTTGAATGCTCTTTTTCTGATTGCAGAAGGCACAGGCCCCAGCCCCACCCACATAGGTGAGCTGGCAGCCATGGAAGTAGAGTCCACGAGGCTGAGCCAGGAGCCCTGGGAGCCAGGAGGGCAGGAGGAAGAAGAGGACGGAGGAGGGCCTCGCCCTGCCTATCTTAGCCAGGCCACAGAGCTCATCACCCAGGCCCTGCGGGACGAGAAGGCAGGCGCCTACCCTGCTGCGCTCCAGGGCTACAGAGATGGTGTGCACATTCTGCTCCAGGGGGTGCCCAGTGAGTAGGGGCTGGAGGGTAGAGGGTCAGGCCTGGGGTCCTAGATGGAGCAGTAAGGAAGGGAAAGGGAAAAGCAGGCAAGGACCAGGAGCCTTTCTCCTCACTGACTGATGACCATGTCACTTTGAGAAGATTATTTTCCTTCCTCTTGGTGGCTTCAGTTTTCTTTTTGGTAGAATGGGGAGGAGAGACATGTAAGTCCCAGGGAAGGGAGAAGGACACATGATGCTGCTCTGTGAACCGTCAGGGCTAGACCAGGGGTTCCGAAGGGAGCTGGGCTCAAGTACCTCAGCTGAGCCAGTCTCTCCACAGGTGACCCGTCCCCTGCCCGCCGGGAAGGTGTGAAGAAGAAGGCAGCTGAGTACCTAAAGCGGGCTGAAGAGATTCTACACCTGCACCTGTCTCAACTGCCGCCCTGAGGAGTGGGCCTTCCAGAGGACTCTAGCTCCAGCACTGCCAGCCTCCCCTCTCCTTCCCCAGCAACCCCAGGGGCCATTTCTCTATGTAACTGGACCAAGGAACACAATGGCTCCCTGACTGCCTGCCTTCTTGGAATCAGGACTCTATATGTGCCAGTATCTATCATGATGTGGCAGCAGCAGGTCTCATCATTAAAACTTGTCAGTTTAGCCATCTGGAACTGGGGTCTGCAGACTGCAGCCTACAACCAGATCTGGCCCATCATCTACCTTTTTTTTAAGGCCCACAGGCTAGAATGGTTGCTACATCTTTTTAATGGTGTGTGTGATGGGGAATCAAATGAGTAAGAGTCTGTGACTAGTGAAAATTAAATGAGGGCTGAGGTTGTAGCTCAGTGGTGGAGAGCTTACCTGGCACTTGCGAGGCACTGGGTTCGATCCTCAGCACCACATAAAAATAAAGGTATTGTGTCCATCAACAACTAAAATAATTTAAAAAATAATAATAATAATAAAATGAAAGTTAAGTGTCTATGAATAAAAATTGTTGGAACATAACCAGGCTCAACCACATCTATGGCTGCAACCAGCAGATTTGAGTAAGGCGACCAGCAAATCCCAAAACCGTTTTTCTTTTTTCTCCATCATTCTGAGGATTGAAACCCGGGTCTCAGGCTTTCTAAGCACACCCACTCTATCTGTCTGTCTGTCTGTCTGTCTCTCTCATGTTTTAGTTGTCAATGGACCTTTATTTAATTTTTATGCGGTGCTGAGTATCAAACCCAGTGCCTCACACATGGTAGGCAAGCGCTTTACCCCTGAGCCACAACCCCAGCCCCTCTCCGCCTCTTTTCTAACTGTTCTTTTGCGAGTGGTCTAAGTTGCCCAGGTTGGCCTGGAACTTGTCCTCATGCCTCAGCCTCCCTCCTCAGGACTGCATCCTCGGACCGCTGCACCTATCCCAAGACATTTTCTACTTGACTCTATGCAAAAAAAAATAATAATAATAATAATAGAATAGAGTATCTCCAGGGAAACAGTAGAGAAAGAGGTCGATAGAGCCAGTTTATTGAGTGAAAAGGAAGAGGAACGGAAACCGAGACCAGGACGCTAATTTTGGGACCGCCTTAACCTGCGGTTTAGTGGAATAAATCCCAGCGAGACCTAGGAGGCGTGGCCCCGCGGTGCCACGCCCCTCCCCGCCGGCTATTGGTTACGGGAAGGACTACAAACCGGTGCATCATGGGAGCGCCCGGCCTGCGATCTTTAAGGTAGAGGAGGCCGAGCGCCGCGCGTGGTGGGGGACGTTACTGGAGCCGGAGTTGGCGAAATAGTGCTGGTATCGCCGGACTAAAACGCAGTGCATCTAGGGAGCACGACTCTAGGGATCCGGTGAGAGGGCGGTGGTGGCCGGCCGGGACGGCGGGGACGTCGAAGACCCGGGCGGGGAGGCGGGGCGGGCCCAGCGAGGCCCGGCCCCGCCCCGCCTCGGCGGAGCCTCCCCGGGCCTCCGCGGGCAGTGGCGTGCCCTCCCACACGATGGGGAGAACGGCCGCTGTCCCCGGGATTCTCAGCGCCCCCCATCCCCGCAGCCCACCCATGCCCGGCAGCAAGCTGCCTGTGGGTATTTGCCCAGACATGTGCCCGGCCGCCGAACGTGCCCAGCGCGAAAGGGAGCGCCGCCTTCATCGCTTCGAGGTGGATAGGGGGTGGACAGGGGACCCGCCCCGCGCCGACCCGCAGCGCACGGTAAAGGAGTACAATCGACCCGCTGCCGGCAAGCTCCGCCCCCCGCCGAGCCAGCTGCGTCCGCCCTCGGTGCTGCTGGCCACCGTGCGCTACCTGGCCAGCGAGGTGGCCGAGAGCCCCAACGCGCCCCTCGCGGAAGTGGCCAGCTTCGTGGCTGACCGCTTGCGCGCGGTGCGGCTAGATCTGGTTCTACAGAGCGCGGGTGACGCCGAGACGGCGGTGGTACTAGAGGCTGCACTGGCCACGCTGTTGGCCGTAGTGGCTCGACTCCAGCCGGTTGAGACGCGTGGGCCGGTGGACCCCGTGCTGCTGCAGACCCAGGTACAGGAGAGCTTCGGCTCTCTGCGGCGCTGCTACGCGCAGAGCCCAGGGCCGCACCCACGCCAGGCCGCCTTCCAAGGACTCTTTCTGCTCTATAACTTGGGTGAGTCGGCATCCCAGCCTTACTGGCATGGAGCCAGGGACCCCTCCATGAGGACAGTGGAGGCAAAGAAAAGAAGTTTAAAATCTCACCGTTAGAGGCTGGGGTCGCATGCTTAGCATACTCGAGGCCCTAGATTCCATTCCCAAAAGTAGCAAAGAAGGAAAACGTCAGTTTCCTTCCAGAAACGTCAGTGCACAACCCCCAACATCAGATCCCAGACTCAACCTTCCTATTTCAGAGTTCAGTTGTAATCCCAGCGACTCAGAAGGCTGAGGCAGGAGGGTCGAAAGTTAGAGACCAGCCTCAGCAATTTAGCAAGGCCCTTAGCAACTTATTGAGACCCTGTTTCAAAAAGAGCAGAGAATGTGGCTCAGTGGTTAAACGCCTGTGGGTTCAATGCCCCCACTAATAAATAAATAAATAAATGATAAACTAAAATGGAAGGCACAGGGTTGGGAGAGTTGGCCTTGATAGTGATTTTCAAACATTTTAAATCTCCCTTCCCTAACAGTGTTGCAGAGATCACACGTGCCCAGGAACACATCTGACAGAAGTTTCAAGACTAGATCCTTTATATGGGTGGTGCATTTTAACAAATTCAATTGAAATGAAATACTCTTGACTTCACAGCTCACTAATGAGTCAGAAGCCTCAGTTACAAAAGGTGCCCAAGTTCCCAGTGTCCTGTGATTTTCTGAAAGAAAAGAAGCAAGATAGGGGCTCCTTGAAGAAATGGCCTTCCCAGGCAGATGAGGATGGTTTAGTAGATCAGGCTCCCAATCTGTGGGTACAGGGCAGCCAAGGCAGTGGGAAAATCAAGTGATAAAACTTCAATTTGGGTTAGGCCCTACCACATACTATCTCTAAGGCTTTCAGGCAAGCTGTTAATTTATTTGTTTCTTCATTCCCTATCATTCCCCAACACTGCCCACTTCTTCTCTATTGTAAGCACCTAGGCTGACGTTGACATTTGGATCAGGTAAAGGCCTGACTGCAGGATCTTATTGGGAAAGTGGGGCAAGGTGGGCTGTGCAGGCAAAGGGATATGGTCAAGTTGGGGTAAGCAGGATCAAGAACTGGAGTTGAGCTTCGTGGAGGGCCAGCCCTGTCTGGCCAGAAGAGTGAGCATAGCTGAGTCTTGGAGCTGGTGGGAGTGGAGATGGGTAGGGCCTAAGGGGATGGGACGGGAAGTGGGCCTGATCCTAGAAGACCAGGCCTCATCCCAGCCTCCCAACTTCTCAGGCTCTGTGGAGGCGCTATATGAAGTTCTGCAGCTGCCTGCTGCCCTTCGTGCCTGTCCGCCCCTGCGCACTGCCCTAGCCATCGACGCCGCCTTCCGGGAGGGCAATGCAGCCCGTCTTTTCCGCCTACTTCGGACCCTGTCCTACCTGCAGAGCTGTGCAGTGCAGGGCCACGTGGGCCATGCCCGTCGTGCTGCCCTGGCCCGCCTCGCTCGCGCCCTTAGTACCCCCAAGGGACAGACTTTGCCTTTGGACTTCATGGTTCATCTGCTGGCCTTGGATGGACCTCACGAAGCACGGGACCTGTGTCAGGCCCATGGGCTACCCCTGGATGGAGAGGAGAGAGTAGTGTTCCTGAGGGGTTGCTATACTGAGAAAGGACTGCCACCTGTTGGTACCTGCAACGTGTTAGTGGGGAGTAAGCTCCGAGGGCGCACCCTGGAGGAGGTGGTCATGGCAGAGGAAGAGGATGAAGGTGTGTTCAGACCTTCCTAGGTCTGACATTAGGGGGACCTGGCATTAGGGGGATATATGCCAGCTTCCAGAGCTTCAGGACTGGGTCAGATCACTTAGGTTTGTTTTTTCATGATTCTTAGACCATAAAAGGAACTTTCTTTTTGGGACCAATGGCTGTACTTCATTTATTGGAGGGCACATAGAGAGGAGACTGTATGGGTGTGGCAGGAGAGGCAAAAAGACTGGGCAAGGCCCTGTCTACCTGGACCTGAGTGTGCCTACGAGTCCATGAGGGGTGGCCTTGCTGATCTCTGAGTTGGCCTCTAAGGTTGACATTGTGTATCCTGCACTCACCAACCCACCAATGCCATCACTTGTTGGGTTTTCATCCCCTAGCAGCCCTGCCAGCCATTCTGCCAGCCAGATCCAGGAGGAAGGAGATTGGGACTTGCCACTCCCCTCGGTGTTCCCACTGATGGAACTCCTAGCTGTTGCCTCAAGCTGGAGAGGGGACAGTGATTATACATACTCTGGGCCTTGGGGGAGACTGGAACACGCTCCAGGAAAATATGTGGGAGAAGGTTAGGATAAAGGGAGATCGGAGGAGTACAGGCTGGGGTCAGAGTTCAGCCACAGGTCTCAGGGTGGCTGTTGCACCCTCCAAAGCTGCCACCACGATGCTGAGCTGTCTCTGCACCTCAGCCCAAGCTTCAGATCCGGCGTCTGTGTCCTTGGCCCTGTAGCAGGCATTGGCCAGGCCAGGGAATGTGGCAACAGAGCTGGAGTGGGGTGCCCAGAGCACATGGCTGATGAGAAATGGGCAGGCTCAGGGTTAGTGAAAGGCCCAGACTGGAACTCGGCTGCTCTGCACAGCCAGGCACAAAAGCCCCGACACAACCCATCTGAAAGCTGCAATGTACAGTTTCATGGTGGGAAGACTGTAGATTAGAGTCCTCGATGCGACTGATTTGCCTCCCCTCCCTGAGACTCACCTTCCCCCCTGCCTTGGACTAGATTGTGCTCCAAAGCAGCAAAGCTGCTATCTTCTTCCTCGGGCAGGTGGCCTTTGCCTGGCACCTGCGAGGAGCTTTGGGACAAGCTCACCTGTAGTAGCGTTCCTCCGGGAAGGCTCTGGAGTTCAGGAAGGCCCGCTCTAAGAGCATCAACTGGTCATTGAACATCCGGACCTGCAGGGGACTGGCAGAGGCAGGACCTGTGGCTCACCCTGCAGCCCGCAGCCTGGGTGCACCTTCCCAGCCACCTGCCCTCTCCCTTGCTCACTCAGGGCTGCCTTTCCTCTGTGCTGAAACATGTTGATCCAAGGCCGAAGCTGCTACTGCAAACTTCTCCACTGCCGTCACCAGAGGCCCTGTGGAGAATACCCAGTGGCTTAGCTTTGCAGGTGCAGAGTTCTCCA